ACAATATTTCAAAATTTTTAACTGATATGGTACAAACCATTCTCAATAAGAACAACAGACTTTTAAATAACTTTTTACAATTTATAAACTTACCCTGGCGGCACATCTAGTTTCACTTTCGGAATTAAAGCCTGCATAGACACGTGTTTTCTCCTATCCAAGCGTGAACCAAAAACACGTATTTTATCGGCAGTTTTACCTTTTGACACATGTTTTATGAGATTTGTCAAATTTAAATGTTGCACGCTTTTATCAGTAATTTTGCATTCCTTACTGAAATTTAGTATGATATTTAACTACATTTCCGTAACGGTGACGTAATTAATACCCTGGTGTTTCGGTAAATAGAAATACTTAATTTCACGGAATGGAAGCCCTATTCTTTAAACGTGTTATTCTTTTTTGTTTAAGAAGGTTTCAAACACGCATCAGAAAACATGCGTAACTTCTTTCCGAATTGTGTCAGCTGGGTAGTTAAATCATGGAATATTGACGAAGATGAAATTCAAATGTCTTTTGGTATCATTAATTTGTACCCTTCAGTTCCAGTAAAGAAAGCAATAATTGTCTTTGTTGAGAGATTAAGAAATAATCCTAGTTTTACATCAAATTTTTCTTTGATAAGATAAAAATACTTTTAGATATATGCCTTTTGCACTGTTATTTTTTATATGAAGATGGCATTTATCAACTAGAAGATTCTTGATCTAATAATTTAGGACTTATGGTAGTAGTTGCGGAGTATTTTTTACGGTTTCATGAAAGAAATGTTATTGCATATAAAGCCATTTAAAAGATACGTCGATGATACCCATTCTCGTTTTAATTCTACTGAAGATGCAAAAAACTATTTTATTTATTTATTAGTTCTGAAAAAAAATGTTATATTGGTGAAACAAAATTAAAAATGGGATAAATCAACAATTCAAAAAATTGTCATGGTAGTTTTGTATGGAACAATAAAAGTACTATAAAAACTGATGTCAATAATTTTAACAAAAAAATGAGAGGCACTTCAAATACAACGTCATGTACACCTTCAGACGGCGGTCTGAATCAGGATGACGGAGGTTACATCATCTTTTTGGAAAGTTATAACCGTTAACCTTTAACATTTTATTTTTTGTTTTTAACGGTTACTTATATCTTTATAAACTTGATAACGGTGGTATCTATACTCCGTTGAAATATTGTAGTAAAAATCAAAATGAAATATTGTAGTAAAAATCCATAGTAGAAGTTTTTATTTAATTCTGTAATCCAACAGTGTCGTTAAAGCAAAAAACGTTAAAGCAAACTTAAAACTGATTTCTATTAGCAAATTTTAACCATTAGAAAAAAGTTTAAATAAAAAGGAATTTTTTTATATACTTAATACATGGCCGACGACACGGGTTTCGAAGTGGGGAGGGGGACACAGTAGTCAATTTCTAAAAAAAGTCTTCTATATTCTCAACTTTTTTAAAAAAAGGTCATTTAGAAAAGGTGTGTGTGTGTGGGTGTGTTTGTGTGTGTGTGTGTGTGTGTGTGTGTGTGTGTGTGTGTGTGTGTGTGTGTGTGTGTGTGTGTGTGTGTGTGTGTGAGAAGGAAGGGGGCCGTAACCCCAGCCCCCCCTCCCGGCGATGTCGGCCCTGTAATAAACTTAAAGTAGTAAAATTAATAATATAAATTTGATGATGAAATATTTCTTTAATTATTAAAAAAAAAGTTATTTAAAAACAATGTTTTAAAAACAAAGATAAAAATTATTATTAAAAAAAAAGAACATAGAAAAATTCGCTTTAACATCTTTTCGCTTTAACAACCCACATCCAACGTGTGTCCGACAGCCAGTTGCGACGCGGCAAATTTGAAATAAGCAAGACCTTTTTTTGCTTGTGATTGTTTTTATGATTTTATTGTATTATTTTATTATATTTAATAATGTTTTAGGTAATATATTATTCTCCGTATCCTTTTATTATTTTTCATAATTTTTAAATATTTAAGGAAACCTTTTCTTAAAATAAAATCAGATGACATATGAAAAACAATATTATATTGAATATAATGATTTCAAATTGTTTTTCATATATCATATATGATATTACATATCTATATGGTACCTATATTATATGTTACATATATGATACATATATTATATGTTATCTGGCTTTATTTTAATAACAGATTTGATCAGCTTTAATAAATTTTTCTCCTTATCATTGATGAGAAAAACTTGATAAAGTTGATCAAACTTTTAAACACTTAGAAAAAGATTAGCTTTAATCACAATACCATCAGTAGAAATAATAATACGCGAAAATACACGAGCTCATGAATGTACTACAAGTTATCCTGTTAGCAATTCCGAAAAATAGGATAAAAACAATGAAAGAATAACGTTGACTTACAAATTGATTACAATTTTTTGACATTGATTACAAATTTTGTTACTTTGAATTTTTTATAAGTTATAAAATAGTCAATGTGAAAAAATTAAAAAAAACAAAGCAATATGTTTAACTTCTAAACTACAAACCTTATACAAATGTGCTCAAAGATCCTTTGGGTGTAAAGGGTTTTCAAGCATATTTCCATGATATCAGTTGTTAAATAGTATGTAAAACATGAAATAATCAAAATTTCTAGAGACCAAAATAGATTCAGGTTGCATAGTTTGCTAAACCAAAACTAAGGATAGAATAGATATTGAAAAAATTGATAGATTTTTAATTAAACAAATTTTAAATCAATGGAATTCCAGATGCAACTTTGAAGGCTATACTAAAAAATGTGGTAAAAATTTTTTAACATAGTTGAACCTGCTCTTTTTGCCAAACTTGAACCACTATTTTATTGTCATAAGGTTGTATCACACTCTTTTCTACAATTATTATCATAGTAATTATGCTAAAAGGAACTATCATCTCCAGTTCCATCATTAACTCATTTATCTAATTTCTTTCATTGCATATCTGTGTCTTCTGTCAGCTGTTTTCTTTCACATTAACAATATCTTTTGTTTTCTGGTAACTGCCAACTTAAATAGTAGTTGCTTGCAGCTTATTTGGAGGGAATTATTTTTTTTGGAAAAAAATTTTAAAAATGATTCAAGTTATAAAAATAAAAATTAAAGTTTATGAACAATGTTTGTATAGTTTGATGAAATTTTTAAGTTATTAACATTTTTTACTTTTTATATATATATATTTTTTGAAATATAATAAATATTTCCTTGATATTCCAAAAAAAATTTTTAAATTATACTTGTGTGTCAAATATAATGGGAAGGGAACACGCATAAAAACTTGCCATCAAATTTACAGCACTCTTTTTAACAGCTGTTTTATAATTTCAACAGGATGTTATATGTTTATATACGTTGAATAAAGTAATAAACCAAAAGCTAATTTTTGACGAATCCAAATTCGTGAGTATTTACATAGGTCGACAATTTTTAAAGCCTGATTACATTGGAAGTTTCTATTCTTATCAGTTATTATTTTTAATTTTTTTTTTACTTTTAATGCTGGTTTACACTGTTTTTTATTTTAGTTTTGAGATGTATTTTTTTTGTTGATAACAAGTATAAGTTAATAATCAGTGAGGGGAAGGGGTTAATAAGCTTGGGATAGGTGGGAAAGTTTTCCAAAAGTTAATATACCTCCCCTCACATGTATCAAGCACGCAAAATTAAAACCTTTAAATAGTTTTATCATAACATTATTTAAACACCAGATTCAACAAAATGTTTTTAAGTATGAAATTTTTAATTAATATATAATTAATACCAGATTCATAAATTAGGTAAAAGTATACATTTTTTTTAAGTATATCACTTTTCTAGCAACTAAAAATCTTGTTAACTTTAAAGATTTTATAAACAGCAAATTTGTCAGAATGTGGCAATTCAGCAAAGTTGTCAGAATGTGGTAATTTAAAATCTAAATTTTGATATAATCAAGAAAAAAAGTTACAAGTCCTCTTTGAGTTGACATTTCAATCATTAGTTTAATTTTTTGAGTTTTAAATATTGTGATATGATTTTCCATGAAAGTTTCCATTGTGGTTGAATTATATATATTGTGTGTGTGTGTATGTGTATATATATATATATATATATATATATATATATATATATATATATATATATATATATATATATATATATACATATATACATACATATATACATACAGGGCTGTCCCAAAGAGGTCTTCCATGGAAGGGGGGTGTATGTATTTTTTTACCAATTAGAAACACCAAAAAAAAGTAAATAATAATGTTCTCAATATTTGCAATTTGCCAACTATAGTTCAAAACTTGGTCAATGTGCCAACTTAAATTCTTATATGACAGCTTTGGGGGGTGGGGGTGGGACACCCCTATAAACCCCTTTGGGATATATATCTATTATTATTATTATTATTATTATTATTATTATTATTATTATTATTATTCTACAATAAAAGTTTAAAATTTCTACTAGCTGGGAATCTATCGAGACCCAGCTATAGTAGACCGACGAACAATTGAATTAAGCCATTTGTCATTTTTGAATTAGTCAACCGTCTTTGAAATCTTTGATGCAACGACTAAATCCGGTAGACTATTCCAATAAGGTACTTCACGATTGCATAGAAAATTATGTCTGGCTGAAAAATAAAGACTCATCAGAAATGACAATTTCTGATGAGTCTTTATTGATGAATCACTGTCTTAAATGAAAAAATGTTTGTAAAGTGATTTTCTACTAATTTATTGCTCTGTTTTTTCTAAGAACATTAAGCACTATATTTTGTAGAATATATTTTAAAATATATATATATATATATATATATATATATATATATATATATATATATATATATATATATATATATATATATATATATATTATATGTGTGTCTATATATGTATATATATTATATATGTATTTGTACAATTATATATAATATATATATATATATATATATATATATATATATATATATATATATATATATATATATATATATATATATTCAGTAATGAATACCTTAAAAATATTTGAATTGATTGTTGTGTTGATTATTGCAATTACATGTAATGATGAAGTTAAAGAAAAACAAGAAAAATTATCAAGAAAAGAATTATGTATCTTTTCTTCTTTTATTTATGTAGCTACAATGAGCTAAGGCTCAGTAGATGGTAAGCAACTTTTGTTGTTTTCTTTTAAAGATGTTACCTACCTAATTCTCTTTCTCAACTCTTTAACTCTGAAACACAAATTTTAACAAAGAAGGCTAATGCGCAGAGAAGCAAGTTAAGCACTATACTACCAGAGACATAGTAAGGATTGAAATAGAAAATTTTGGCTTTCAAAGCAAGCTCCTCAACCACTACACCTCTGCCACATTGAAATACTAAATTAAAATTTTAAAAATGTTTTAAAGATGTTTTGAACCCAGATAATCAATAAAAAATATTCTTTTAACGTCACTGATGTATAATAGTCAGAAATATGTTTTTGTTAATGTAATGTAGTTTGTTCTAATTTTTAGTTGATAATTTTTGGGACATGTATTAGAGTTTTGGTAAATTTATCAAAATTTTGTTGTGGTATTCTGGTTAATCATTTGAAAAGGAATAATAAAACAGAAACAACAACATTAAAAAATATTTTTTCAAGCAAAATTCCAGCATTGGTTATATAAAAAAAGCAATATTTTATTGGATGGTTCAATCTTATATAGCATGGCTAAAAGGAGAGCGACCCTGAACATGAAAAAACTTATAAAGAAGAAAATAAATATCTTATATTTTCAAGATTAATAAACATATTAAACAAACAAAAAATAATAATAGAAAAAAAGGGTAAATGAAAAATAAGATAAAATACAAAGAATATAAATTTCACTATGACAAACAATTAAATTGTTGACTTATAACATTTTTAAAAATGGTATTTGAGTTTTTTTTTTTAATTTTGTTTTTTAACTCATTTAAAAAGACAAATATTTAACTTGATTTGTAGGTAATTCCAGTCAATAAGTAAAGATTTGTCATAAAACTTAGTATTAAATGATGGAACAGTTAATCTGCCTTTATGTGTGATCCTTGTCGATTTTTATGAAACTTATTTATTAAAGTAAAACATTCACTAAAAATAAATGGAAGCTTATTGTTTAGGAAATTGTGTATAAAGAGACAGTTTTCAAATTTAAGATTTACAGGTATTTGAAAAAAAATTTTGTGCATGAATAATGAGGTAGGAATGTTGTTAGTCTTATGGCCGTTTTTTGAACTATGTTATTGTTTTAGTATTAATGATTTTAGCCCCTGGAATAAACAAACAAAAAAAATTAATGCTACTTAGAATGCCAAAATATAAAAAGATTTAAAAAAACAACTTACAAACTAAGAAAATAAGTATTTTATATAACCTAACTTTAGAATTATCATTTATATTAGTTTTACTTTAAGATATTTTAAAACATCTTTATGTAAAATTTTATTTGTTTTTTTTTAAAATTGTCAGTTACTTATAACCTAATTGTGAAAATCTTACTAAAAAAAACAAAATAAAAAAACAGGTAATAATAAACTATAAATTCACTTTTTTTAAAAAAAAAATAACTAAAAAATGTTTGCAAATAGGTTTCTTATTAAGTATTAAAATTGGTTAATAGTTGTTTTAATTGTATTTTTACTTTATAAAGTTTTTAAATGGAAGAAGAAAAGAATAATCTTGGTATATTTTGCGTAGTATAAAATTAGTTGTGATGTTACAACAACTGAAAAAACAATGATAAAAAACAAACTGTTGGTAATGTACATCCGGTTTTGTAAGTTTTTATTTTTTTTATTTTTTAATGAAAATTTAAAAATATCTATATATATTTCGCTATTTGAATGCTTGTCATAAATAGTTAATAGATAAAAACAGTAAAAAAGGATGTTTATTAAATTCTGAATAAAAGAATATAATTAAAAAATAAACAAAATAAAAAATGATTGAAAAACTAACATTTTATTCAAATCTTTAATAAAACAATTAAAGTAAAAACTTAAAAACCTTCAATTTAAATACAAAACAATCAAAACGAAAACAGAAAAATGAATGTCTTTATTAATTTTAAATGAAATAATAAAAATTAAATCAGCAAAACTAATATTTTATTATTTGCCAAATTTTTAAACTTATGTCGACATTTAATTTTTAAACTTATGTCGACATTTAATTTTTAAACTTATGTCGACATTTAATTTTTAAACTTATGTCGACATTTAATTTTTAAACTTATGTCGACATTTAATTTTTAAACTTATGTCGACATTTAATTTTTAAACTTATGTCGACATTTAATTTTTAAACTTATGTTGACATTTAATTTTTAAACTTATTTTGACATTTAATTTTTAAACTTATGTCGACATTTAATTTTTAAACTTATGTCGACATTTAATTTTTAAACTTATGTCGACATTTAATTTTTAAACTTATGTCGACATTTAATTGAAAAATCAGCAAATTCGAGGTTTATTTTTCTTTCAATTTGATTGTGAATATTTCAAAGTTGATTTGATTTGTCCAACCAATTAATAACCAAAAATTACGAAAGTTGGCAAAAAATATAGAAAGAGGGTTGCTCTTTCTATATTTTTGGCCAACTTTCATAATTTTTCTTAAAAATTAAAAAAAATGTATTTTAACATTTTTAAAAATATGTAAACTGAAAGTGTTCAGTTTACAATTTTTAAACATTAAAAACAAATAATATTGATATTAAAAAAAAAAATCAATGAAAACCAATGTACGCAAGAATTTTTTAAAATTTTTAACATTAACAAGCAGGTAGTTAAAACATTTACAAGTTCCCATTTTAAAAATGCATTGATTTTATTTAAGTTGTTATTTAAAAAAGAATATGTATATGTTAATTTCCAAGCATTAAGTTACTTTTGTATTTATAAAGTTCAGTCATAAAGAACTAATACTAAGATAATAATGAAATAAAAAATTTCTTTTGACAGTCTGTGTATTAGCCATTCAAATTGATTGCTTGCCTTAAATTTCTTATTTTCCACACTGTGTATATATATATATATATATATATATATATATATATATATATATATATATATATATATATATATATATATATATATATATAATTCTATACTGTTTTCGACAGCGCTGACCGAATTTGGGTGTCGATTTGGAAGCTGCCTTTAGATATTGAGGACCGTTTTTTTTTTATAACGGCAAAATTTTTTTCGCGAAAAAATGCCTGACAAGGAGGGTACCGTTGCCCAAAATATTTTCCTAGAATAGCCCCTGTATATATGAATATTTATATATATATATATATATAATATATATATATATATATATATATATATATATATATATATATATATATATATATTTATATGTATATATATATATATATATATATATATATATATATATATATATATATATATATATATATATATATATATATATATATATATATATATATATATATACACACACATACAGAGAGAGAGAATAAAGAGAGAGAGGAGATATATATATTTAATATGTATCTATCTGTCTCTCATAATCTAGCACTTACGCAACTATTAAATAACTGTAAAGTTGCAAATTTTTGTTACTTTATAAGGAAACTTTTTAATATTATTTTTCTTAACATTACCACAAGACAAATATGGATTTCGGTTAAAGCGTAATGAACAAGTAGAAGGAGTCAAGCGAATTCTAATGATGGAAGATGAACTTAAGAGATCAGCTATGGTGAAAATATTGCTAGACAAAATTTTTAAGGTGATTGAACTAATGAAATTTTTAATACATTTTTTATTGTTGTTAAAAATTTTTGTAATTTGATCATTTCACTATATTTCAAACAATGGTCTGTGGGACACCATCTTTGATTTTTCTGATTTTTACATATTTTTATGTGCATTATGTAGAAAGGTTAAATTTGAAATTTTAGACTTCCAAGTAAAATGGTTCAGAACTTATAGCCTTATAAACATGACACAGTGGCAAAATATAGGCAGCTTGTTGTATTTTAAAACTCAAATGTATCTAAAAGCAAAATGTTCATTTGCCTTTAAAGTTCAATTTTTAGCCATTTTGAGATGTCTGTAAACTTTTCTTACACTTTGTTTTGATCTAAGATTAACAGCATATAAAACCATTAGACCCAACTATCTGAAAATGCAAACATTATAAACTTGTCAAATTCACACCAAAAAATGCCAGCATTTTAAAATAACCTTATTTTTCAATTATCAAAAGTTGAATGTGTTATTGGAAACCAGTGCCCCTCTGATCTGCCTACTGGCCTATGTGAGGGATGCAACTAATTATAAGTCATTTCTTAATAAAAAGAAATATATTATTGGTTGCCCTCTCCTTGATCTGGTTTTATGGTACAAACAAAAGGGGCTGTACTTTTTTCGAGACCTTGATTATGGCTCAAATGAGCTTCTCTAAATTAATTTAGATATTTAGAGACTTAACATCTAAATTAATTTTAAATTAAATTTATATTTTAAATTCTATTTTGTTATAGGTGATAATATGAAAGGTGAAAAGTGAAAAACAAATGTAGATTTCCTAACTATTTTGTTATAGGTGATCAGTGGTCATTATAGGTCCCATAATAGGTGCCCCCATAATGCACAAATATATTAGGGAGGGGGGCCAACTAACTTTTTTATTTTTTTTATTATAATTTAATTCACTTTTGTTATTATGTTATTATAATTTAATTCACTTTTTTTATATAATTTAATTCATTTTTGTTAATGCCCTTTTAAGGCCTTAACTTTGTATATTTGCTGGAAAATCTGGCAAACACAGTCTATGTTAGTCAATATCAAAATTTGAATCTTATGGTATAAGCATGAAAAAATGCAGTAAAGTCAAAAGGTTTACCAGTACCAGGTGGTAAAAGAGTGATTATTAAACTGTCCCTTCAAAAGCCAAATAAAAATTATTAAAGATTTTGATAGCAAGACATTTTTTAGTTTTTAATAAAAATTTGTCAAAGCATCAGGTATAAAGTATTTGTCTTGTATATATAATTAATGTTTTGTATACTATATCATAATAGACTTTTAACTAAAAAATAATTAAAAAAAAATTAATTTTATTTTTTGTTATAAAAAGTCAATCCTAATAAAACAAAATTTAAAAACTTTGCTGTAAAAGTTCTTTTTAAAGAAAATTGTATAGAAAAACATTACAACATGATCTTACTTAATACAAATAATACATTACAACATGATCTTACATTTTTAAAATTATGTTTTCAGATTTATCTGATTCAAATTTATTTTTAGAATTTTTTTATATACTATAAACAAAACAGCTGCTAATAAACATAAAGTACTAAATGATTTGAAAATGTTTCTGCTCATAAAAAAACTCAGCATTATTTCTCACCTCAATCATGCTATTTAAAAGTTTATTTAACATCAATGAGCTGTAAATTTTATAGTTTTCACATGCTGCAAGATACTTGCCTACTCAAAAGTCTCTGAAATCGACATCAAAATTCATTAAATATCTGATTGTGCTTTATTTTGGTGACTTTTTCTAGTAAGGTAACCATTCTTATATGTAATTCTGTTTGTATCAGCTGTTTACAAAATGCTGGTGATTATTTCAAGCATCCAATAATTTCAATAACACCAGGTATCTATTAGTATCCAGTGAGTGACATTGCCAAGGTACACGAGGATGAGCTCAGAAACCCAAAAAGGTTTTACATCTTTAAAAAAAAAGATTAAATAAATGATCATATGTTGTTTTAAATTATCAATTAGAAAGTTAAAACTAAACCTAGTAATAAAAGCTGTTTGTAGCATGTTTTAACTTTTTTTTTAAGAATCTTTATTTTTATATTATAGAGTTCTTTAATACCCCTTATATGTTATGAAAGTCATTAAAAAACTGTTCAGCATTATTTTGTATAATATAAATCATTTTTGACTTGGAGATGTAATACTCCTTAATTGTGTAAATTATGTTTAAAGTATCACATTTAAACAATAATGAAGATCTTTATAAAGATACTGACCTTTTATTTTTTTCCCCTATCCACTATAAAACCAAATCAAGGAGTGGGCAATCAACCATCTTTCTTTTTATTTCTAAATGACTTATAATTAGTTGTACCCCTCATATAGGCTAGTTGACAGATTAGAGGGTCACTGGTTTCCAATATAACATTCAACCGTTGATAATTGAAAAATAAGGTTATTTAAAAATGCTGGCATTTTTGATGTGAATTTGACAAGTTAATAATGTTTGTGTTTTCAAATAGTTGGGTCTAATGATCTTATAAGCTGTTAATCATAGATCAAAACAAAGTTATAGAAAAATTTACAAGAATCTTAAAATGGCTAAAAATTAAACTTTTAAGGCGAATGGACATTTTGCTTTTAGATATATTTGAGTTCTAAACTGCAACAAGCTACCTATATTTTGCCCATTTATTGCAGACAGTAGTAGCTTATTAGAAAACTTATCTGTAAAATGAATGAATAGAAAGTTAATTTCATTTGACATAATTTAGCAATTTTTGGATTTTTTCCAAAGTTGAGGAAGTCATAATTTTTACCAACTACAATACAATTTAATAAAACCAATTTTTTAAAAAGAGAACTATCCAGAAAATAGTTCTAGAAAAAATGAGACGGTTGTTAAAAGTGAGAAAAAAGTTATAAGGCTCTAAAGTAGTCTATTTTAACCATTTTTAAATCAAGGGTGGACACTGTATCATGTTTATAAGGCTGTATTTCTGAACCGTTTTACTTGAAAGTTGAAATTTCAAATTTAACCTATCTACATAATGTACATGATAATATATAAAAATCAGGAAAATCAGAGATAGTGTTCCACAAAGTTTTTTTCAAATTGGTTGAAGTATAATGATTTGATCCAATTATGATTTATTGAGTTATAAATGCAGTAACTGTTAATTATGCTAGTTGTAACTGATAGATTTAAAACAAGCTGTAATGATGTTGCAACTAGCATAGTTGCACTTAACATCATTGCAGCTCTTTTTAAATATATCAGCTTAATATTATCATTATCATAAAAGTATAAACAAAGTTTTAATAAAGAAAAAAAATATTTTAGCGTGGTTGGACATAAAAATTTATTGAAAAGGAAAACGAACCTGTTTTTAATTTGTAATGTAAAACTTGCTTGTGCTATGTAAATGCGTCCAATATTAAACTCCACTACAAAATAAATCATAGATTTTTCAAAGAAAAAAATAAATTATGGAAAAAGTATAATTGAATTGCTTAATAAAATAATTAAAAATTAACAAATAAGTTTTTTTTTTTTAACAGTGATTCAAATTTTGTTTTGGAAGTTATAAGTTTAGTTAAAGCATAATATGGAATGTTGCCAAAGGCAGACGTTTTTACATTAATGGAGAATTTGTAAGCAAAGTATTTTGGGCTTTTAATCAGCTTTTGATACTAACAGTAGCAAAATTCAAAGATTAATCTTAAAATATTTTAACATGCAACTAAAAAAGTATCTAACATGTGACGTCAGATATTCTGCTAGAAGATTTACTAGATTTGGTTGAGCTGAATGATGCAACTTGTGAAGTTAATATAAATGAAGCTTATGAAATCTCAGGTAAAGCTAATGCACTTATCAACAAGCTTAATACTTATTTGCTGCAAATAGTGCATCAGTAATGGTTGACAAACATGTTTTTAAGACAAAAAAAGTAATTCTAAGTATTTCAGAGTTTATCCCATTTCATTGTGTGGTTTATTGAGAATATTTTAGCATCAAAAAATTTTAATTTTTCAATTGTTTTTAAATTAGTGTTGAAGATTGTAAATTATATTCAATCAAATGCCAAAAACCATAGGCATGATAAAAAATTTATTAATGAATTAGATATTGTTGAAGAAACAAGTGACCTGTTTTATTGTACTGTAATTGGCTATTGATTAATTTTCAGGTTTGTAGAACTAGGAAAGGATAGTTTCATGTAAAAACATAAAGGGCATGCCGTCTAAAGTCTTAGAATTTGCTGATTTGCTTGGGAAAAAATTTAAGGCATTGGAAATAATTTCCATAAACAAAACAAAAAAAGTTAATTTATTGTAATTTAAACGAACAATAGGTACAAAAAAAAAAAATTCAGAAATTCAAATAAGCTCAATGTTTGCTTCATTTAGACCAAAGTGTTAAATTTTGGCAGGTATTTTGTTTGTGATTATCAACAAAATATTTCTTGTGCATGCCTTAAATATTGTTGAAATATATCATAATTTACTTAGAAAAACTGTTTGCTTAGAAAACAAAAAATGTATACTTGCACAGTATGATGATTGTCCTGTTAAAGATCTGCTCACCATGTATTTGTGTGAGATTTTTGGAGAATATAAACACGATTTTAAGAGACAACAAGAAATAGCAAAATACAGTTTAAGCAACACTATTGAGTACTAGGAACTGTCACAGTAAAAGGATGAGGTTTAATTAATTGACAAATAACACAAAAATGAATTTTAGTTTATGGCACAAGAGGTGCTAGCTCTTTAGAATAATGCCCATTATAGTATTTATAGAAAAAAGAAAGAGAAGCGTTATTACATTATTATCTGAAGCAAAGCACTGTTCACTTTACTTCAGAAACTCTGCTAGCTAATCACTTCAGCCTCTAAGGTGAATTGATTGCGGTTTTAATGCTATTTAATAAACAAAAAACTTTATAAAACAGTAAATAAATTCTATAAATCAAAATTATGGAGATTTAAATTTGTCTAACCACACCCATAATTCAATGTCATTATTGAACGAAACACTGCGCAAAGCGTTTAAAAGAGATTTGGAAGAAAAAAACTTTTATTCATCTAGTTTTTTTCCCCGCACTTCAATTCTTTGGAACTCTCTCCCATCTTCATGTTTTCCTGACTCATACAACCTTCAACTTTTCAAGTCTTCTGTCAACCGTTTCCTTGCTCTATAACTCTGTTCTTTTTTTTTCCTAGTAACTCCCAACTTAATAGTGGTTGCTTGCAGCCTTGTTGGGAATGAATGCAAATAAAAAAAAAAAAAAGAGGTGGAAATCCGATGGTGCTAAGTCTAGAGAGTATGGAAGATGTTGCAGCACTTCCTAACCAAGTGTTTGAATTACCTTATTGATCATAATGGCAATTTGAGGATGTGCATTGTTGTGTTTCAGAAAAACGCTATATTGCCATTAGGTCATTTTTGCTGAATGGTGTTATTTAATTGTTGCATTTGCTAAACATAAAGTTCCGCATTGACTTTTTGGTTGGGATCAGACAATTCCCAATGGATAATGTTTTCCCAGTCCCACTATTCACAAAACATTGGTCTTCTGTGGATGAAGGTCTTGCTTTGCTTGTGAAGTCGCTTGTTTTTTCAGGCTTAACCATTCTTTGTGCTGCTTCATGTTGACATAGAGACACCATTTTTCATCACCTGTGATGATGCAATAAAGAAATTTTTGCTTATGCCCATAAGTTGAGAGATGACAAGCAAGTGTACTGGCGCTAATGGTGGATTGTTGGCTTTTATTAATTTTGTTCATTATGAGTGGCTTCCAAGCTTAGAGTTTTTAACTTTTCCCATTGAGTCAAGATGTTCTGCTATTGTTGATATTTTGGATACGCTCTGCCAATTATCTTATAGTTTAATTATGAGCAGTTTTTTCAGCTTGGCACCCTCTCTGTATACAGCATAAATCTCTCTAGCAACTTCCCTGACTTTGGCACCTCAGGTTTTTACTTTTCCCCAAGGCCAAGAAAGCTACTACAGATGAAGAGGCTACTTAATTGTGGTTATAACCCTCTCTCAACACTATAACTCTTAAACACAAACCTTGACAAACAAGGCCAGTGTGGGGAGAAATAAACTGAGCGCGGTACAACCAGGGAAGTGGTAGGGATTGAACTCAGAATCTCTCTTATGAGGTAAGCGCTCTACCACTACACCACTACTGCATATATAAACTATAAGCTGGTTAAACATTAGTAAGCTGGTTACAAAAAGAAAGTGGTGTCAAAAGTGCTCATTTTTTTCAACTTGACACTCCATTTATATGCTCTACAAATAAATTAAATCAAATGTATTCTGAAATAGATTTTACATTTCATGGAATATTTACATATAAAACAAGTAGTTAAGTAAACACCATAATAAGAAACACAAAAAAAAAAAACACAACATAAAAAAGTACAATACTTAAACAAAAAACTTTATGGAATAATAATTAAGTAAGAAGTTTGATATATTTAGGACAATTTACTTTTATACATATATCTAGAATATAAGACTTATATACCTAATTAAAATATAACAATAAAAGTGAAACAGGTTGTAATAATATACAGTAACAAATATAAAATACAGTAACAACATTATAAATAATAAAGTAATATAAGTATCAGTAATAATAATAGACAATAATGATAAAAATTCCAGTTATTGGTTATAATAATCAAAATAATAATAATACTAACAATAAAAATAACAATTCTATTAATAATGATAAAAAATATAGTATAATGTTTTGTTATTCAAAAGATAATTTTTCCCTCTTCTAGAAGGAAAAATTATCTTTTGAATATCACAAAACATTATACTAAAACATTTCATTTCGATCACAAATTTTTAAATTTAAAACAACAGCAAGAATTTATTGGACTATTTGTTAAACTCAATATTATATGATAAACATGAAAAAAAATATTAATACAAGTTAAAAATTTTATGTACAAAAATAAAAAACATTTTTAAAATTTAACAAATTAAAATCTATTAGTTATACCAATACAACCATTCACTTCAGTGATATGTACTTGATCTTGTAAGGACATTGGTTGTTGTGATCTAATTAACTATGATACCCAACAGACATTGTCTCTGATTAGAATGGTAATCAGAGATAATTCTTTTCTGATAAGTCTTAATTGATGAAACACCGTGTAGAAAAAAAAATTTAATAAATGATTTTCTACGAATTTTATTATTGCTTTGTTCTTTTAAGAACTTTATGCACTCTATTTATGTATATATACCTTCTTTTATATTTATGTATATATACCTTCTTTTAGTCAAAATCTTCCTAGTGAACTATTCATTGTATCTCTGTGCCTTGCGTTATAATTTAAATGCAGATCAAAATGTCTAACTAATACTTATATACTTATTTTAAAATGATATAAAAGTAATTATAGTACAATATTAATAACAAGATGTAGTACATACAAAATAATTTAGTAAAATATAAAAGGTTTCAACTAGGTTGTGGAGAAAGCAAAGACCTTAGTTGAAGAATCAGGTTATGTGCCTGGAGATGAATTTCCTGAAGACCAGAAATATCTTGATGGTAAGTGTTGAATATCTTTTGCAAGTTTAGTATAGCAATTATGGTTGGTGCGTCATTTGTTTTTGGTGAGCTTTAAATGTTAGGTTTTTAGGGTTCAGATATGTAATTTGTCTTTATATGTTTTGCACATTAAAAAAGAGAACATTTTTTTTATTAATATGTACAAAAAAAAATTAATTTTATATTTTTACATTTAAAGTTTTGAATAAAGATGGTTAGTTATATTGCATTTTAATTTTAAATTTGTATCATGTAAGTTAAATTGCACTTTAATTTTAAATTTGTGTACTTAAAGTTCAAGCTGTAAATGTTAGGTAAATTTAATTGAGAATTTACCTAATATTTCTAAAGCTTTTCTGACGGTTTTATTGTTTGCCATTTCAAAGTTGTCCAAAAGACTATGTTTTAAAATATTTTAAAATGCAAATCTTTTCAAAGTAATGAATTTATATAAGAAAAAATTACAAATCTCTTTTTTTTTTTTTTTTTTTTTTTTTTTTTCATATTCTCTTTAATATTAATGTTATTTCTGATCAAATAATTAATCTCCTATTAATTATCCATCAGCCAAAATTGTTGTTATTAGTGACTTTAATGCTCATCACACTGAATAATCTAGTACCTGCTACTACCAAAGCTTAAAAAATTGGTCTTGAACTCTTAATCAGTTAAGTTTTGTGACTTGTTTTCCAAGAATCTCTAATCACCTTCACTTATTTGTCTTTTTCTCTTTTCTTCATATTTTTCCAATGCTTTTATTCCTCATGTCTGTTTGTTTGTTTGTCTGTAAGCATCAAATCTTGCAATTTTTTTTTGAGTTAATTCCTGATGATAGATTTTCTTCAAATTTTGCATATATGCTCTTGCTTGATGACAATACAATATTCAATAATTAGTTTTGTAATAAGTCAATTAATTTAGTTAATTTTGATTGATTAATTTTATAAGTATATTGATTGTTTTCTTACTTATACACACGTTTAGCATATTTGGATAAGGCTTTGACTTTGTAAACAGAATGTCTGTGGTTCAAGACCCGCATCTTCCTGAACTTTTTTGTTTTTTTACACATGAATGTTAATAAAATAAAACAGTAATATCTGGAAAATCAATTGCAAAATTTGTGTTTTTTAAAACATATTAAATTATTGGGTTTAAAAATTTTTTAATTTTACTTGTTTTATCTCCTGTTAGTAAGTGAACATCTAGCCCTAGTTAAATATGGAATGTTTTACAAACCCTGAAAAAATAATCAAATTTAGCAGGGGTTGATAGCTGGGGTTAGGAAAAAATTTATAATACATAATATATTTAATAGTATATATATAATAGGCATATAATATGAGTATAAAAATAAATGTTTGCTATTTATATGCTAGCAAATAATATCCTTACATTTTTATACAAACTTTAGTAGGAGAGAGTTGCCAAAATTGAAACACCTGAGTAGTAAATATTTTATAACCAAAGATGTTTAACTATGAAAATATACTATGATATATTTTTTTATACCTTTTTTATACTTTTTTTATACATTTTTATACCTTTTTTATACTCAACTATAGTTTGACTTAATTGATTCCACTGTTGACAAAACCAAATTTATTGAAAATAAATTTGGTTTTGTCAAACCACCGTTTTGTTCCAGTCAAGGCAACTGGTATTCTAAATTGGAATAATTTAATTTCTTAATTGGAACAGCTTGCTTCTTTTAAAAAAGTACCTAGTAAAATCACCAGAAATCAATTTTAAAATAGTTTCATCTTTACAGTGACAATTTAAATAATTTATTTAACATTCAAAATTTATAATGGAATTAAAATTGCTCGGAAAAAATTAAATTCTTCAAATTATAAATTTTACAAATGCTTCAACTATTGTGATGTTCTTTTATCTTATTAATTAAAAATCACCAAAAAAGGTATAGTTTTGAGGTTTTTGATTGCAACTATTTATTTTTAAAATGTTTTTAAACTATTTTTTCAACCCTTTAATTATATCACTGATTAAGTAAAGAAAACTTTATAGTTCCAATCAAGGAACTATTTTTGGACTATGTTATTTATGCAATATCATGCTTGCAGTAACTTATAAAATAAGTTTATGTTATCTCGTATTTTTAATTTCATTTCGGATTTAAAGAGTTGAGAAAAAATATATATATACAGTCTCAATGACTGTAGTGTACTAAAGCATAATTTTTTACAATGTCACCAATAATGATAATGCTTGATTGTTCCAAATTTTGTTTTAGTCAATTAAGATTGAGACTGGGTGAAAAAAGAATGAGCCAGCAGCTTTTCAAAGTGAGATACTAAAAGTTCAATGAAAGTTGGAACTGTCAATCTGAAAAAACATTTGCTGTCAAACGCAATAGTGTTGTATAACCTGTAGTTAGCTTTTCTCATAATTGTGTACATACTCCCCAAAAATTGTGTTCATATTCCCCAAAAATTGTGTTCATATTCCCCAAAAATCTCATAGAAATACATGGTGAACAGTTCAGTATGAGGACAATTATCACATCCCTGCAAGTGTTCTTTGTTTTCCACTAAGCAAACAGTTTTTGAAAGAAAATTTTGATGTTTCACCAATATTTTAGGCATCCACAAGCAATTCAGCATTTTGGTGATAAAAACAAACACACACAAAATGTTTACCACTTTTATCTGGCAAAATGCACCACTTTATTTTAAATGAAGCAAATTTTGAGTAAATTGTTTGAATTCCTGGATTGTTTGTCTGAAGACATAGTTCCTTTAAACTACAAAAAAAAGTTTTTTTGTAATCTTTCTTTTTAATTGATGTTTTTTTCTATGTTCGCATAATTTTTTTTTTCCATTTTTTTAACAACAAAAATTTTTCATTTAAAAAACCATCTAGCCATATTTTTCTAGTATTTGTAACTAATATTGACCAACTTGGGAGTGCCAGTGTGAGAAGTTGAACAATTGCTTTTTTGTTGGAACATAAAATTTTAAAATTTTACATAATTTAAACAACAAACAAAAAATAGTTATATCATTATGCCTTTCACATTGTAATACAGTTTAATGATAGAATTATTTTTTCTTTGTTGTTTAAAATTTTAATAACATCTTGTTGGCCATTGCATGCCTCTGATGTCATTAAGTTAGATGTCATTAACTCTTTTAAATAAGATAAATTATTTAATATGAGTAAGATTAGTAAGAAGAAAGATTTCTTCTAACTGTTCATATTAAGATTTCTTCTAACAATAAGAATTTTTCTTTTCTACCTAATTTTTAGTAAAAAAAATTTTTAAAGTAGAAATAATTCTTACATTTTTAGATTCCTTCTTTAGTAAAATATTTTTTAGTAGTAGATAATACTATAGTTTATTCAAAGTTTTACCAATGAATGTTTTTCTTCAACTGAAATTTTTATAAACTATATAATTGCCAAAATTTAAAAAACAAATACACATCAATAGCACACTTGATCATTTTAAAAGTTGTTGTAAAAAAGAAAAACAGCATGTATTTTTCATTTGTTGAAAAATTAATTTTCACACCTAATTATGTTGAACTTCTTGAAGACAATTTTCATATTCAAGAAAAGTTTAGTGTAAAGTTTCATTCTTTAAACATGAAATTCTTTTAAACATGTTAAATATTTAGTAAAAAAGTAAAAATCTTTATTTATTTATTTATTTGTTTTTTTTTTTTTTTTTTTTTTTGTTTTTTTTTTTGTGTGTGTATTTGTTTTTATATCTATTTACAAAATGTTTTATTTGTAGCTTTAGGTAATGTTTTTGAAAATGTTGCTTTATTTGGTGATTTGCTTCTTCGATGTCCTGATATAACTCATAAGGTATGATTATCTTTTATTTAACTACAAATGCTGGAAAACCTAGAATAACAGAAAATTTTAGTATTTTTATAAAAATCAAAAAAAAAAAGTAATTAAGTTTTTAGTACATAAAACCAAGACTTAAGTATATACACACACTTAAACCTCCATGTCCATAGTCCAAATATGTAGATTTTTTTTGCACTTATCTCTATTTTAGTTGATGTATGTACATGTGATTTGACTACCTTTTAGTTAGTACCATGACCCTACTCGTCATTCTAATAATTTGTGATATTACTTGAATACTGGTATACCTAATTGTTACTTCATTGTTGCCTTTTTGATATGAATTAAGTGTTTACACTCTAACACTAATATTGATTGACACTTTTTATACATGTTTTGTATACATATGCATATATATGTAAATTTTATTACCAAAAAAATAAAAATAAAAAATAATAACAAAAAATTATTTAAATTAATATTATATGTATAATATTAATTTAAATAATTATGCATATATTTTTTGGTAATAAAATTTACATATGCATATATATGTAAATTTTATTACCAAAAAAATAAAAATAAAAAATAATAACAAAAAATTATTTAAATTAATATTATATGTATATAATATTTTGTATAATTTTTTAAAAATGTTTGAAACAAGTAGCCCAGCCATATAATAAAAGTATCCACTTTCATGCAGTCAGGAATATTTCAAGACCACTTTCATGCAGTCAGGAATATTTCAGGACCACTTTCATTGAAGAATCGCTTATGAAACAATAAGTGCGATAAAAAAAAATTTTTCACTGAATGTTGTGGCAAGAAAGGAAGCTGGTAACAAATTTTTTTAATTAATTTCTATAAGGAATGGTAAGCATTCAAAAATAGTTTAACAAAAAAAGTGGAATAGATAAAAGAAAAGATCAATTGTATATTCTGAATAATCAAAATGTATATTCTGAACTAGTAAGACACCCACAAGAAGTAGATTTCAATCTTTCCGGTTGCACACTGTCCAAACGAAATAATTGAAATGGTTTCTGTAGCACTACCTAAAAACATTTTCAATGACCCTCAGATTGTAGCAGAAGTAGATTGTTCTTAAGTTACAAACAATCAAGATTTAATGTTTGGAAAAGATAGATCATCAGTAATATGGAGTGTTCATGAGCCTACAAACAAACTAGATCAAAATTGAAAAAACACTTAGAAAAGCTTTTGCACCATTTCAAGATCATTAGTTGATACAAAAGAAAAATGAGAAAAAGAAAAAATCTGCAATTTTGATTAAACAAAAAAAAAGGCAACCAAGTAAAGAATTTTTTTAACTTGCAAATTAATGTCTCTTTTACTTGGAGAGAAGTCATCATTTGTGATGGATTTGTGATGAAATGTGAAGGACTGGTTTTCATGCTTCACCTTAACAGATGCTCCAATGAATCTGAATAATGATCTCACTACCTTTACTGATCAAATTAAGAATGATGTAGGGAAAGCTGCCATGTTTGCATGAAAGCCAATATTTCATAGTTTAAATGATGACTAGTTCTCTTCTCTTCTCAAGCACAATCAATGACAAAATCAGATATTGTTCAGAAATTCACAAAAATTAGCTGACCTTTAACATTCTAAATTGGGACCTTAAGTTAAGGCCTTTAAAATTCGAAGTTGGAACCTTAAGTTAAGACCTTTAACATTCTAACTGTCATCAAGTTAAGACCTTTAACATTCTAAGTTGGAAAACTGTCATGCCTTGTTTGTCAAAAACTTCATTACTAGCAGATATCAGTTTTTTTAGCTTTTTCCATTGTTTCTTTTTGAACACTTTTCAAGCTTCTAGAAATTGACGATTTCACATGGCTTTCTCAAGGATTAAATGAATGAAAAGCTTTAAATGCTATTAAAGAGTCTTTTTTATTAAAACTTCTTTATTAAAAATCTTTGCATGAATGAAACAGCAGAGAAAAGGATTTGAATGAAAGTAATTTCTCACTTAAGATGAACAAATGGATTTAGTAAAGAATGAAATGATTATTTATGTGCTGATTTCAAGTAAGAAGCAATTTTCAAACATTGAAGTTTTTCTCTTGAAGAAAGTATTTTTTAGAATTAAAACATTACATGTTAAATAGATATACAACACAAGTCTACAAAAAATCTTTTTTTTTCTGTTGTATGAAATATTTAAATTGATTTTGAAACTTTTCAGATTATTATAACTTAATTAAATATCTAGAACACAACTGGATTATTTGTGTAGATCTAAAAATTGTTAATTTTCTCCTTGGTCAGCAGAAAGGTTTTAATAAATTTCCATGTTATCTCTGCATGTGGGATAGTCAAGGAAGATAACACCTCTAAATACAAAAAGGATGGCCAATTTGCAATACTTGTGCAGTGGACATACCAATAATAGTTTTTTCACCACTCCATTTCAAGCTTAAAAACCACTGAAAACTGACAGTGTTTGCTTTAAGCATATGGTTCAAACATTGTCAGGTTTGTCATTAGAGGGAAAAAATTTTGATAGACCACAAGTTTGCTACCTTATAAATTATAAAGAATTTATAAAAACGATGGATAGCTAGGAGAAAATTGCTTGGTTGTCATTTATGGATGTTGTAAAATTGGAAATAATAAAGTTAAAAACTATGCATGTTTAGTTGATAGAATGGTAAAACCTTTTTGTGATCATATAAAATAAGTATAAAACATATAAATTGTAGTATAATGTATAAGTGGTTGTCTATAAAGTATGTATGCTTATAGGGGGAGGGGGGAGGTCTTCAAAAAGCATACAAAAGCGTATGGGGGGGGGGTCAATTTAAAAGTACGTACTTCGATTTTCTAATTTTACATAATTTACCAGCTAGTCAATAGAAAAGTTAAAATTCTGACTAAAGATCCTAGTTTGCCAACATAAAAAGATGTATTGTATAGAGAGTAGAAGGTATAGTTTCTCTCTATGCACACTCATGCATGGGCGCCCGCAGGATTTTTTGATGTTCCAGATAAACCACTTCCACACATTGTGCAAACTCCAAACTTAAGTATGTTTATACCTATGCCATTTGAAAAGGCCTTGCAAAAAAATTGTTATGGCGGTAGTCTGGAAACAAAAAAGCCCTTAAATTTTTGCATCCCCTCCCCTGCCCAAATGTGATTGCACTAATGTAGTAAAATTTTCCAACCCCCTTCCCCCAAAAAAATAAATAAATGAGAGTCTGTACATTTTACATCGACATAACTTTTGTAATTTACAATATTTTTCAACAAAACTTAAATTCTGTCGATAAATTTGAATTTAGTTTTAGATCGTTAAGTTAAAAATTTTACAAAATAAGGGCCCTCACGTTTGAGCAGAGGGGCAAGCGTTTTAGGGCTATTTGTTGACAGGTCTCTGCCATCCCAATTTTTTACAAGGTTTCCTCATTAGGTATAAACATATTTAAGTTTGGAATTTGCACAATGTGTGAAAGTGTCGTATCTGGAACATCAAAAAATCCTGCAGGTGCCTATGCCAACCCTTATATACTGGCCCTGAGTATACTTAAGGCCAGTATATAAGGGTGGCATGTGTGCATGCATTTTTTCAAAAAAAAGGTCGTCTATTTTTTGAGTCAACAAAAAACAGGTTTTAGCAGTACAATGTCTAATAGGTTGGAGACCCCCTCCCCTCCCCTCAAATAAAATACAATTATTAAGGTCTCAAAATCTTCCAAATTTTACCGCTCTTGACCATTTTAATAGTGTAATACCCAAAATAGAATATAATCTGAAATATTATAGAACATAACATAATCTGCAGTATAGTATTATATTGTATGGCATAGTATAATAAAATCTTGAATATGGAATAATATCATTTGTAGATATCTGTAAAATATATAAATATAAAAATAACCTGCAAAATCATGCGGTATAATATGATGAAAAAATATGTATAAAAAATTTAGTCAATAACTAAAGTTTACTAGAATAAATAAAATCTGTCAAGTTGTAGACTTGACACTACTGAAAAGCTCTCCATGGTTTGATCTCAACTCTGAAGATAAGAATCTGCTAAGCATTTTAATGCTTGCATTAAAACGCTTAGCTGATTCTTATCTTCAATATTTAATGTTTTAAATCTGTTCATGCATGCCATGATGAACAGATTTAAAATATTGCTCAGGTTTTAAAATTTAAATTCATAAAGCTTATTATATAACATTTCTGTTTTACAGAAATACTTTGAAAACTTTTGTAAATTTTGAAAATTTTTATGGACTTTATGCTTTATGAAATACTTTGAAAACTAGCTAAATTTTGAAAATTTTTATGGACTTAATGCAATATGCATACTATTTTGATTTTCTTAAAGAACAATTATAACAAAAGTATTTTTATCATATTTTAGACTATCTGAATAAATTAAATATACACATTTTTACAATTTTATTTTTTGAGTAGTAATATCGTTACATTTTGAAAAATATACAATAATTTTCAAAACGCCATACTCTAGCTAGAAATAATTGATGACTGCCGTTTCTCATCGAAAATATATTAAATATGAGTCGCAGAAGTATAATATTTCACTTGAAATACTCACTAGCAATTTATTTTCATAAAAAAAACTACATGAAATTGACAAATTTGCAACATCTGTGCGTGACTTCCGTGCGTGATCATTCATAAACTGCATTTAAACGATTGCTGTGACTATAATTCATAGTGCAATCCTGTAACTTTCTGGAAATCTTTACTAATGTTTAAAATACTATTTAAAAAAAAAAGTATACCGGTGAAACTTATATTGTCCGAGGAATTAAAGTTTATTTATCTAGTAACTAAAATAGAAGTTTTTCTGTTCCGTGCGTGATTCCATTTCAAACTTTATTTATTCTTTGTTAACATTACTAATTCTTACTATTTTTTTGTTACAAAATATTTATATTGATTAGAATTAAATAAGAGTAAATTGGAGATCGCTGGAGATTTGTGTGTGTACATATGTGTGTGTATTTAGGTTATGTGCTTAAAAAATAATAAACTAAAATAGAAAACATTTTGAATTGCGTAAAATATTGCACAATAAATTTTGTCTGAATTTTTACAAGTAAAATTTATTATCAATATGTTATTTTTTTCAACTATTTTTTTAAGTAACTAAGTTTTTAACAAAATGTTGCTAATAAAAATGGTTATAGAACAATTAATTTACATGTATGTCATTTAAAACATAAATTATTAGATTTTAAGTACTTTGGCAAAAGGATGGATTACTGAGTTCAACTCAAAACATATCTCAAATATTAATGATAATAAATTTTATGTATTTTAGCTATATGACAAAAATACTGAATGGCGTGTAACAATGAACTGGGGAGTAGTTTTCTCAAATGAATCAGGTTTGTTTGATGATGCAGAGAAATTTTTAAACTTGGTAAGTTTTTTAATTATAAGTTAATTTAATAATGTAGTAAAGGTATTTTTAATAATTAACAAATTAATAATATACTCATTAAATTGTTATTTGTCAAAAGCTCTTGTTTATACATGTTCTTGTCTATAGGTGCCCTTATTTGTACATGTTGTTGTCTATACAACTTTATTTATAGTTGTTCCCTTAGCCATGTCTAATCATGTTTTTTACAGTTGCATTTTATTAATGATGCATTCTTTATATTATGCACCTAGATATGTCTGGTAATGCTGGAGTGGTGTTCAAAAAAAAATGATTTATTTCTTTTTTCTAAAGCAAAGTTCATAACTTTTAGTATATAAAAAGTTTTCTATTAATGTTAAGGTAGCTCCTTTTTCAGGGAAAAAAAAGTTTTTTTTCCTGAAGTGTGAAACTATGTCGTGGTGGAGGCAACTTACCTAGGAGAAATAAATCTTTGATAAAGACCTCCCAATTTAATTATGATTAAGGGTAGGATGAATTTGTAAACATTGGATGGTAATTCTCCTAGCGGTAATATCACAATAAAATACTAAGCATGTTTTTGATTCCCATGACATTTTTGTAAAAAAAATTTAATAATAGCAGTCTTTTAAATTTTTTAAGTCTATTAAACGTATTAAGAGGGTATGGTTTTTTAAAGTTTAAAATTTTTTTTTTTTTTGGAACAGGGTTTATCTTTTCATTCTTTAAATTATAAATTTTTATTGTTAATTTTTTACCAAATGTGATTAAAGCAGATTTGTTTTTGATTGTAATTTTATTTAATGTGTATATTTAAGATAAGATAATAAATTTGCCTCATAGAAATTAGTGAATCGCTGTAACATATGTAACTTAGTGAAATTAGTGAATCACTGTAACATGTCTGTGGAATAAATTAGTGAATCGCTGTAACATGTCTGTAGAATAAATTAGTGAATCATTGTAACATGTCTGGAATAACTTAATGAATCACTCTAACATGTCTGTGAAATAAGTAAATTTTTAAATTAGTTCTTTTCAAAAAAACAATACTTGATGAGCTAAACAAAAAATTTTAAATCAATTTAGGTTGCGCAAGAACTAGAGATAATACCACGTGATCCTAACTATATTAATCCATATAAAGAAGCCACTATAAAGGTATTAAAATTTTTATTTAAAAATATTTATTTGATATTTACACCGCTTTTAATAACATAGTATAATATATATATATATATATATATATATATATATATATATATATATATATATATATATATATATATATATATATATATATATATATATATATATATATATACTATTCCCTATATTCCTATACATCTTTATTTGCGTACAGACTTCATCAATATTCTTGAAAGTAATTAACATTTTAATTTTTTTAGTGGTATTTTTTTCAACCTAACCTTAACCTTAATTGGAAAATGAAGATTCTGAACTGTTTAAAAAATATATATATTTAGTGTTTTTATTGCTCTATTAAAACTACAGTAGTTTTAATAAGAACAATAAAAACATTTAATATCTATATTTTATATCATTATTTTACTCTAACCCCAACAGTTTTTTTCTATTAATACATAAGTGAATATCATTAATTATGATTTGTGAAACCCTAAACCATATTTTCAAAACAATGACGTATAAAAAAGATATTATAAAATATACTATTAAATACAATATCATAACAAAGATGTACAAAATGGAATGTTTAAAAACAGTTTTTTAATAATTACTAACCTTGACAAGTAAAACTTTACATAAAACAGCTTTTTTTCTTTTTTCACCATTATAACAAAATCCTCAAGATTTTGTATAAATTTTAAATTATCTTCTACTTACTGAATGTAACTATATCAGTTTTGAGTAGCAAGAAAAAAATTGAATAAAACCGTTTAATTTCATAATTCAAATCAATTAACTTAAAAAATATGATTTGAAAAGAAAACTCGATAATTTAAAGTAAAAGATGATTTAAAAAGAAAACTCGATAATTTAAAGTAACTCAATTTATTTACCAGGTTTTACAAGTAAACTTGTAAGGTCTTAAGTAAACTTGTAAGGTCTTAAGTAAACTTGTAAGGTCTTAAGAACAACACTTAATAGTCTAATGTCAAATGTCATCAACTAAAAAATACGCATTAAAATGAAACTAATTTAACATCGCATTTAGTACTTAAGTAACAAACAATATTAAATACAAGCACTTATAAAAAATTTCTTCGAGGATTGAAAAACAATATAAGATACTAGCTGCAAAACTTTATTTTATACCATCAAAAAAATTTTCCAATTATAACATGCCGTGGCAATGGTAATCTCTAAGAATCAAAATAGGATAAAAAAATAAAAATTTGTATAACCAATCATTTGACTGAGGAAAACAATTTAGAATATTTTTCAAATAAAGTAGGTTGACTCATGGTAGAAGGAGGCCAAGGTACACAAACTTCCCCTAAGTTTTTAAGAAAGTATTTTTGGAAACTTTAATCGCGAGTTTTTAGGTTGAATCAGAGATATCAGTTGACCAAAAACTATGTAGTGCCAAAAAGATTTTTGTCTCATTTCCAACTTTTTCTAGATTCTCAAGAGTTAATATATCCTTGTATCCTTTGTTTACCATACATACCTTGTATCCTTTGTTTACCATACAAAACTTGTATCCTTTGTTTACCATACAAAACTTGTATCCTTTGTTTACCATACAAAACTTGTATCCTTTGTTTACCATACAAAACTTTGGAAATTTTAAGGGACTGTGGATCTTTTGTTTCTGATGTTAATACTTATAGTTTATCTTGTCAAAGTGTTTTTAAATATATAAGGGTTAATTTTAATGATTCTGTGCACAAAAAAATGTTTTGTTATGCTATTATTTCACCTGTCAATAAAAGAATGAACAACTTTCAATTGATCTTTTTTATAATCTTTTCTTTCACTTGACCAGAACTTTTCATCAAGTAATTTGTCCACAAATTTGATTTTTATTTGTTACGTCATCAATTTATATACGAAGTGATATGTATGTACTAATGTTCTTCTTTTGAGGTGCAGGTGATAGTGTTGCGGGTTAGGATTTTTTTTGTGTGTAAATTTTAATGTTATATTTCTAGAAAGTCATTATTTGTACGCTTTTACAATTGAATATTTTCATTACATTGTTGCTCACGTTATTTGTACGCTTGTACAAATAATGTTTACCTAATAAAAACCTAATTTGTACGCAAAAAAAATGTTTAAATCATTTACAGATATATTTATGTAGTACTATGGATGTAATAAGTGTCTACTTTTGAGGAGCATCCAACAATGTTGCGTGTTCAATTCTTCCTCAGGGTGCTTTTTTTTTAATTTTAATGTTTTCTACAATACAATGCTAACATAAAAAATATGTTAGCATTATTGTTAACAACATTTAGCTAACATAGAGATAAACATTGTATCAATATTGCACCAGTGTTGCTTGCTACTAAGGAACTTAATCATAATTCTTCCACTTACTTCTTGTAGTCTGAACTCTGTCTAAATATAATATTGTGACATAAAACTGTATAGTGAACAAGTCACCAAAGCTTTACATTCTTGTTTCAAAAGTCATTGAGAAAGATGTAAAAGAGATGCTTTTCATCCTGACTACTCTCATTAGCTCCTAAACTGTGTTGTTGATTGCAACAGCAAAAAAGTGTAAACCAACTGCACCTAACTGAACCAAGATGCAAAAAATTCGAATAAGAAGAATCTGACAAATGTTGTTGCTAGAATTATTTATTAAGTTTAAAGTGTTTTTGAAAAATGGTAACAACTCTGTTAGGTTTCAATACAAGTTTTTCAAAAAGTATCCATAATAAATCTTATGGATACTTTATGGCATACAGTATCACCACTTCAAAGGATATTAATGTGATTTTTCATCAGCATTAGGGTCTCAATTTGGATTTAATATTAGATTAAGCAAATGGATTTTCTGCAGTCTTCATGGTTTTTAAGAGGCGATATCTATCATTAAATAATCGCCAAATTTAACATTCTGCACAAAATATTTAAATAAAAATATCTGGATTTTAAACTATGAGTTTTTTGGTGTTATGAGAACCTCATACACAATCATTGGTTAAAAAGATTTTGATGGGATATTTTTTTAGCATTAGCTCTCAGATTTTCAGGGTATACCTAGTTTTAAAAAGTTCTAATAAAATAATGTAATGCTCTGTAAAATTCCATTTAAATTAGATAATTTAAATGGAATTTTACAGAGCATTATTTGATTAAATTTTGTTTTTATTTCTTTCTTTTAATTTCTTTTAGTTTTTATTACTTTTTTTATTTTTTAATTAACAGTTTAACAACTGACACTGTGTTATCAATATTAGCGTCCTTATCAAACAGTTTTAAAATATATCGAAATCTGCTAACATATCCGAACTTACTTAACAACTTAAAATGTCAAAATAATAAAATAGCAATATTGTACATGCAATAAGTATTGCAGAGGGGGTTTGACTTTGGTAATGAACATTACTGCTTTGTTTTGTTGGAATTTTATTGAACTCAAATACAATCAATAGCTTTCTCAATTCTGAAACTACTAATTGAAAACGAGCTTAAACATTTTCAGCTTCTCCAGCCAATTATCAAAGCAAGTTGTCACGTATTGTAACGTAAATGAGCTAGGTTACGTTACCTGCAAAATGTCTGTTATTTTTACGTAACAAGACGTAACATTTTAACCTAAATTTTTTTAACATTGTAACGTGTGGTTTCTTTAAAATTTTAAATTAATTTCTTTTTATTTTGTTCACCTTAGGGGGCATCCATAAAGTACGTACGCAGTAAAACCATTGATTTAGGACCCCGTCCCCCCTTGTACGAACCTGTACGCTTTTAAAGACCCCCCTTCGCGTACGTACGCATTATTTTTTTTTTCAAAACTAACTCGATTATTTTTTTCATCATTTATAAAGAAATTAAAAAATTTTTTTTTGACTGAAGTCAGGAAAAAAGCAAAATTCTGATTTTGTTACACACGTGAAATATGTTTAAAAAAAATTAATAATCAAGTTTAAGAGAGGTAGTCAAACCGCGTACGTACTCTCACTGTCTTTAACATCCCCTCCCCCCCTTGTACGCGTTTGTACGCTTTTGGGAAACTCCCCTCCCCCCATACCTGCGTACGTACTTTATGGATGACCCCTTATACATTTAATTTGAGCTATGACATAGCAACATAGCTATGTTTATAGCTTGCTTTATGTGCAAATATAGAGTTATGCATAAGAAAAAGTAAAGCATAGAAATAAAAAAAGTAAGGTAATAAAAATAAAAATAAAGTAAAAATCAATTATTAAAAATATCAAGATATGTCATTAAAACAATGTATATACAGACGTTACATCTTAATTGACGTCTCAAATTGAGACGTAGTTTTACGTCGCAATTGGTTACACTATTTGTATAAAGAATAATTGAGACGTAATTGCATCACAGATGATGTCTCAAATATCAGTATTTAATGGCATAACTTGTTGTACGTGTATATATAAATATAAACGAAATGTTATTTACATTTTACACTAACAAATTTATCAATATAATTAGATAAAAGAAATATTGAAAACTTAGTATATTGTTGAACAGCTGCGTTCTAACTAATTTTTTTTTTTTAATTACATACTATTTGTAATGTAATTACGTCTCAATTGATTATTTCTATATAAAAAGTTTAACCAATTGAGACGTAATATTGCGTCTCAAATTAAGACGTTAATTGAGACGCAACGTTACGTAAGAAAATCTATATCTAGACGCCTTTAAACGGAAAGGAACCATGGTTTTGAGAAAAAGGTTTTCTTTCTCTTAATTACAGTATACTGGATACAGCATTTTAATTTATTTTTTTTTCTTGATTTCTTCCTGCTTATTAACAACATTCTAGTTAAGGCAGGTTTTTATTACTATATAAATATGACAGTTCTATAACAGAAATATAACCATTTTCTCAAAACCATACAGGTGGCGCTTGGTCCCTTTCCGTTTAAAGGCGTCTTTTTGAGACTTAATTAAAATCTCGGTTTTTTTTACTTTACGTTACGTCTCAATTGGTTACACTTTTGTAAATCATTTGGCTTGTATAACCAATTGTGTAACCAATTGAGACGTAACGTTACGAATAGAAACTTTTTTTTCGAGACAAAATAACCAATTGAGACAAAGCTATTTTACAATGAAAGTAGAATAAAAGATAAATAGCAATATTTCAACGATAAACAAACATTTACTTCGTTATCATGTTTATTTAATTAATGTTAATGTTGTGTAGCGCAACGGTACCGTTGCTTTAATTTTTTACCTTAAAGTCACGGCAGTAAAGTTTGCGAATATCATTGGTTGATTTTAACAGCTGCGAATAAGATTGGTTGATTTTAAAAGTTTTATTTGTACACACTTTGTACGTTTAGCATTGCGGTATCTCATTGGTTCATTATCTACGGTGATCCGGGATCGAGTCCAAACTGAGAAAATTTATTTTAATGTTTTATACTATTTTTTTATTGAAAGATATTATTATTGTTGTATATTGAAAGTTATATTGATTTTTATTATTTACATCGACTGATATAGGAATAAGCGCAGTGAGTGTACATACATCGACTGATTTAGGGACAGGCGCAGTGAGTGTACATACATCGACTGATTTAGGGATAGGCGAAGTGGAGCACACATAACACTGACTGATTTAGGGATAGGCGCAGTGGAGCGCATATACATCGATAAAGGTTGGTTTTGGCATGCATTCTTTAAATAAAAGAAGAAAAAAAATCAACCAATCAGAAATCATTACCGTGACTTAAAGAAAAAAATTAAAGCGATGGTACCGTTACGTTACGTTGCGCTTGACACAACGTAATATTTAATTAAAAATAAGAGTATGTAATAAAGAAAATTTCTAGATTATTATCTAATCACCAACTGTATCAAAGTCATCAATAAATTCATTAACTTTATCGACTTCATTAAAGTCGTCAACTTTATTAACTTCATTAAAGTCGTTAACTTTATCAACTTTATCAATATTTTTAAATGTTTAGTAAAGTGAAGTTTTATCATTTTTATTGTAATTTCTTATTGTAATGCTTTCTTATTCTGGCTAAATATTTTTTTTAATTTTTATTTCCACTTTTTTTCTATCAATCCAAAGGTTTTATAGTATCATAGCTATAGAATTTTGAAGAATAAAAAAATAATGACAAAGCATTTTTAACTCATTTGTTTTAATTTAATTGGTGTCAAACTTGACAATTTTTTGTTCTAAAATTCTTAAGATCTCTTAAGAGTATTTTCGTGGAGCTTTGAAAAAAAAAGAAAAAATAGTTCAAACTTCGAAAAACATTAACGAAGTCCGTTCCGTATAAAAATCTGTTTAACAGAAATTAAATAATGATTAGCTCATTTTTTGCTGAAATATTTCAAAAATGAAGAAACAAATAAGAAACATGGCTCGAATTACTTTAAGGAATATTTTCTCAGGGAACACAAAAAACATAAAATAATCTTGAAACACGATTGTAAGCTAAATACATTCTAAATGTACAAACTATATTAAAAAACCTTGTTAGTGGTAATGTTCCTTATGTTTTGAATAAACCAAATAACTATAAACGTTTTTTTTTTGTTTGTTGTTGTTGTTTTTTTGTTGTTTTTTTTAATTTTGTTATTGCTTTTTTTGCTTAAGCACGCTTAAAGTGTTTCTATTTAAAAAAAAAATTGTTTAAGAAGCACGAGGAGCTCCAAATTTAAAAAACTGTGACTGAGGTCATAAAATATTTTTATTAATTTAAATTTAACTTATCATTTCTAGGCAACACAGAAGAAAAAAGAAGCCGAAGAAAATAAAAAACGAAAAGAAATAGAGAATAAAAAGAAAAAAAAGACATTAAAGAAAAATAAAAAGGGGCCTCGATTAGGAGGATCTTCGGGAGAACTGTAAAATCTTTGGTTATAAACGAACGCTAATTAAAAAAAAGGTATTTATTAACTGAAAAAAAAAATTGTAATAAAAGAGTTGTTTTTTATTAACAAATTATGAAGTTAGCTTTTTTATTCATCAAAAATCCAATAAATCAGATACTAGTCAAAATATTTCAGTCAAATAGAAAAGATCTAATAAGATTTAGAAGCGATACGCTCTAAAAGCATTATGAAGGTAATATGCGAACTGTAAACCTGAAAACATGCATTTTTTTATGCATAATAATAAATGAAAAAACAATATAAAATTATTTGTATTTAAATAAATTAACTATCTGGGGTTCTTAAGATATATTGTTTTAGTTGGTAAAAAATTTTAGGACCCTTCTAAAAGGGTTGTAAAAAAAAAAAGGATCGTGCTGTTTACGGACAACCCTTTTAAAGGATTGTGGTGTTTAAGGATCGTGATTAACAATGTGAAAAGTATGGTTGCGTGAAACTCTTCGATTTAGTTTATCCTTACACAAATCATTTTTTGCATGGCGTGGATAACGACGTCAGACAACATTTTCTTAGTTAAAACATTTTCTTAGTTAAAACATTTTCTTAGTTAAAAACATTTTCTTAGTTAACAACATTTTCTTAGTTAAAAAATCTTTTAAACTATTGAAAGATTAGAGTTAACGGTCTAGTCTTTTCATTGGGAATATTAGGATTAATTCCTAACAAACTAAAAGTTGCCCGTTGAACACCGATTTTTAAATCTGGTGTCAAATATTTTAAATTAGAAGCCTATATCTATACTACCTTGTTTTTCAAAATTGCTAGAGAGAATAATGTATAATAGGTCATATAATCATCTAACTGAAAATATAAAAATAGTTTTAAGAACCTTTTTTTTTTTTAGTCTTTTTTTCATTCAATTTTTACAAAATCATTTATTTGAAAAATTATTGGGGAAGGCAAATGCCCCTGCTGAAGGTTATGTAGATTTTTATTTTTTATTTGGGGCTCAGCGATAAGTCAATATCTGCCTTCCTTTATGCTCTAGCCATTAATTTTGATATATGTACAGTATTGGACAAAGCATTTGCAACCAACATCGAACAATGCTAAAAAGTGTTCCTAATTTTAAATGTCTTAAAAAAGAAACTAACTATACTACCACAGCAAACAGTTCAGAAGTCTAGAGTCATAGCATGCCATGACATGAGCAATCAGCTGACAGGTGACAGCACACAGGCAGAATTTCGTTGACAAGTGCCATTTTGCAGCGGGCAAAATAAGTGCAACTTTTTTGGTTTGTTTCATTTTCTTAAGTCTGGTCCGTGTCAACGTCACGGAAGTTTTTTAATAATTAAAGGAAGTATCCAGAAACATGCAGAAACTTCCAGAAGTTTCCAAAAGAAGCATTCAGAAGTATCCAGAAGCATCGAAAAAAAGCATCTAGAACCTTCCAGAACAGGTTCACACAGGTTTATTTTACTATATAAACCGACATGTAATTTAGTCAGTATATGGAAGTCAATCAGTCAGTATTATCAAGACAGTTTTATTGAAGTGAGTTTTATCAAAGTGTTTTATCAAAGAACATCAATACAAAAAGTGAAATACAACAAGTGTTTTATTACATCAATACAGTCCACATCCAACCAATCCAGCCACAGAGCATTATTGTATCATCACAAGGTAAATGTAACACGGTAAGCCTTGAGAGGCGTGATTATTTATTTTTATTATTTTTAGGACTTCAAGTGCAAAAATGGCTCCCGACAGTCTTGAATTGGAACTAAGAAAGAAAATTATTGGTGATTACGTAGGTGGAATGTCACAAAAAAGTATTTGTGATAAATATTGCGTGAAAAAATGGACCGTATCAAGACTATGTTCCGAATATCGTTCTACGGGGAAGTTGGCAGCAGATAACAAAGGTGGAAGACCGCGTTCCACCACTTCTAGAGAGGATTCTGTGATCGTCAGATGCGTCAAGAAAGATCCCTGGATATCATCAGTCGAGATACAAAAGCAATTAGAGCTGCCTGTATTGGACCGAACAATGAGACGACGTGCTGTTGAAGCCGGATTGTTTTCTCGACGCCCTGCAAAGAAACCGCTGATTTCTCTAAAGAACCAGAAGAAAAGACTCCTGTTTGTTACATCTCATATTGACTGGAATGTGCAGAAATGTCGAACTGTCGTGTTCAGTGATGAATTGAATTTCAACATCATTGGGAGCAATGGCATTTGCCGTGTACGTCGACCGGCCGGAAAATGCCTCGATTTACGTTACTGCCATAAGACCGTGAAGCATGGTGGAGGCAATGTAATGGTCTGGGAATGTTTTTCTGCTAACGGTCTAGGTCCAATACATCGAATTGATGGAATAATGGACCGTTTTATGTATAAAAATATCCTAAAAGATGTTATGTTACCTCATGCTGAATGGAACATGCCAATAAAATGGGTTTTTCAGCAAAACAACGATTCGAAACACACTGCAAAAGTAGTCAAGCAGTGGTTTCAAGACAACCACCTATCGGTGATGGGTTGGCCGCCTCAGTCTCCGGATCTCAACCCTATCGAAAACCTGTGGGAGATCGTCAACCGCAGAATTATTCGTGAAGGTGTTCGTAATAAAGGGATAAATAATTAAATAAATAGTTAAGGGACTTGGTGATAAGACAACCCCGTCTTCTTCTCGTCCTTGCCATTTTTAAATATTTTAAATTACGGAACTTGTAAATATTTGTACGGCTAAATTATAATAAAAAAAAAAAAAAAAGATAAACCGTTTGAACAAATCCAAAAGGCCTGGGCAGCGATTCCACAAATTTTTATTGATCACCTGATCGAATCTATGCCTTGAAGATGCAAGGCTGAGATCGATAACAAAGGATTCGCCACGAAATATTGATAGCGACATACAACTTGGTCAACATTTTGTGGAGTTGCATATGTTTTGTCTGGAAGGAAACTAACTTTTTTTCATACTTTTGATTAATTTATTATTTTTCGTGTACAAATAATGAACTCTGTGATGAATAAAACTTGAAGAACGTTGTCTCTAAACAGTTGAAAAAATGCAGCACTATTATATAAAGAAATTAAATTAGCATTATTTGGTTGCACTTGTTTTGTCCGATACTGTACCAAATCACTTAACTATTTGTGCATTTAAACAATATTGGGGTTTTCGTAATACTTTATTAAAAAAGTTAGTGATTATAAATGTTATTTTTTTAAGCAATACTGATCCCAACTTTAAAATGGATGCACGTTACAGAACGTATGCACGTTAAGTGCCAAATTATATTAATAACCGTCGTGACGTTGACACGGACCAGACTTAAGAACATGAAACAAACCAAAAAAGTTGCACTTGTTTTGCTCGCTGCAAAATGGCACTTGTCAACGAAATTTTACCTGTGTGCTGTCACCTGTCATGGTATGCTATGACTCCAGAACTGTTTGCTCTGGTAGTATAGTTCGTTTCGTTTTTACAGGGTGGCCAGCTAAAAGTAAATTTAAAATTCCAGGATATTTCAAGAATTTTTCAAGGAAATTTTGGGTTATTCAAGGATATATTGATTTTTTCTCGATAATAAAATGGACCAATAAATGCAAAATATATTGCTTTAGAACAAAACAACTAAATATTTATATTTGAATACGCATATAAATCATATATACATACATATAATTGTTTGTGTTAAATATTAATCATATATACATACATATATTTATGTAAAGTTTGTACAAATAAAATTGTACAAACTCATACAAACATATAAATGTATATATATATATATATATATATATATATATATATGTATATATATATATATATATATATATATATATATATATATATATATATATATATATATGTATATATATATATATATATATATATATATATATATATATATATATATATATATATATATATATATATATATATATATATCCATATAGTGTAGCCGAAGTATGCAATTGCAGCTTCATTTAAAATGGTTGGTTTGGGAATCATTTTCATCTAACTTCGCAACATGTTTTCTAAACTGTTAGATAAAAATGCAACTGCAGGTCTGTCTGTTTGAAATAGAACTAAAAATCCTTTCAATTTTTTAGCAAGTTCTTTAAAAAACTGCATTCGCAAAGGTACAAAATTGTGAAGATGATGATCTACCAGAACTTCATAGATCTTATTTTTAGGACGTCTGCTTTTGCATAGTGATTCCCAATATTTTATAATTTTAACCATGTTTGGCCATACAATAATGCCTCTAGAAGCCACACCTTCATCTTCTACCCAGCAAGTTGCGTAGAAACTGTGAAACAATAAAATCCAAAAATTAAAATGCTGAAATGCCCTTAACTTATATATAAATATAAAAGATAAGATAATTTATTATCATTTTTTTTTTCTGCTTAAATATGCATACTTATGGCAAAGCAAGCAGATCAGTTTCCCAAACTCTAATATATTCATCTATTTTAGCTGGTGACTCTCTGAAAAGATTATACATTGCACAAACTTTTTTTTATAACTCCCACTTTTGGGAATTTATTGCTGTCTGTAGAGCACCATGATCAAAGTGCAAACTGCAACTGCCCATATTAACTATACCATAATATCATTTTTCCTGTCTATGTTTATCTAACATTTTTAGAACCTCCTGATTAACATTAGGACCATCCATTGATACTTAAGCTAGTTTTCCAATATCTTTGTTGCTTCAATGAGTTTGTCAAATAAATTCTGTGAATTAGGGCGTCTGAGGAACTAAGAATCAATATATCTAGCTTTTACAACACCAGAATTTGAACCCCAGTATCTAACTCCACAGCCCATTTGTTCATTTTTAAAGATTACATTCATACTCTCATCATATGACAAAACAAAGATGAGTGATGCTCTGATTGCAGATATAAGTTGCTCTCGATAGTATGGTGCTAAACCAAAATTTATGAGGTAGCCACATTTTGTTTTGCTTAATGCAAGCTTTAATTCTATTTTACTATCAGAGCACATAGATTTAAATATTTCATTTAAATTTAAGGACTATCTTAACGAAAAATGTGACATTACAACATTCAAGTTCCTTATTATTTCAGCCTTAGTAACCAGAGCTGGAGATCCTCTATAGTAGGTTGAGCCAGTTTGTCATTTAAAACATTTTTTCAATTAGGAAAATGTTCTTGTAAGTAAACAAAAGCAGTTAATGCCAGATATTTCTGTAGTAAAATTTAGGAACGAAATGCGTAAAAAAAAAATTAATATCCGGTAAAGTGCACAGCTAATCAATTTGCTCCAAGCATTCCAAAATTCAAAAACATTTCCAAAAAAAAAAGTAAAAAATCAAATCAAATAACTAAAAAACTACCAGTAAAGAACATATCAGCTGCATTATGTGTTCTTGCATGCTCTTTATGCTTTTTACCAATTGCACGAGAATTTAATGCAGATACTCCCATGTTAGAAATATTAATATTTTTTGACACCAATTACATTTTGCTTTATTTGAAAAACATAATTTTACCGAAGAATACTTTTTATTGTAAAGCCATTCTGTTTGGAAACGACAGTTTGTTGACTTGGGCGTTATGCTAGTTACATTATATATTAATTGTTATATATATTATTTGTATATTCTATTTTCTAAATATTTAGTAGAATTAATAATACAGATTGTAAAATTAATAAATTTTCATCATACCAGAAAATACATAATTAAACGAAAAGTTTTGTAAAAGATGAAAACAAGAAAACGGAATATTGAACTCTATAAAAAAAAGTTCCAGGATTTCCAGGATTTTTTGTAAAAAGGGGTGTTTTTCCAGGACTTTTCCAGGATCTATAAAATTCCAGGATTTCAAGGACCGCTGGCCACCCTGTTTTAAGACATGTAAAATTAGGAACACTTTTTAGCATTGTCCGATGTTGGTTGCAAATTTTTTGTCCAATACTATATATATATATATATATATATATATATATATATATATATATATATATATATATATATATACATATATATATATATATATATACATATATATATATATACATATATATATATATATATATACATATATATATATATAAATATATATATACATATATATATATATATATATATATATATATATATATATATATATATATATATATATATATATATATATATATATATATATATATATATATATATATATATATATATATATATATATATATATATATATATATATATATATTAAAAGGATTCAATGGGAGAATAACCAATAAAAAAACCACAAAACGTAAGAGGTAAAAATATATCCATGAACATATAAATTGAATTTACATTGTTAAACCAAAAATTATCTTTTAAGTAAATATCAATCTATATAAACTATAAATATCTATAAATAATGTACATTAAATCTCTTTTTTCATTTTTACTATTTTACAACTAAAAGATTTTTCAAAATAAACTTTATATATTATAACATTATTTTATCATATAAACTGATGCATAAAGTGTTTTAAACAAAATTTATTTTAGTAAGATATAACGGATACATAAATTAGTATCATATAAAACTTCAATGCGAAAATGAATAAATGTACACTATTATGGCGGAAAATTCAAAAAAACTAAAGAAAATTTAAAACATTAAATCAAGTACATAGAAACACACACAAATACACAAAAACCCATCAATTAGACTAGACCAACTAGAAATTTTGATACACTTTTAGGGAAATTTTAGGGAAATGCTGATTTAAGTAACAATTCTTTTTATTTCAACATTTTCAGATAAACAGGACGGCTTTATGCCTGGATTCAGAGGGATGTATATATGGGTGGAGCGATTTTCAAACTAGATTCGCCTTAGTTAAAAATCGGCGTCTATAAAAAGAAATATTACTTTTTTTAATTTAGATGAGTTCTTCAAGTTCCTCTTTGTGCTGATAAATCATGTTTTTGTCTAAAATAAACTGAAAGCTTTTTTTTTTTAAACTGAAACAATTGTCATGTCGTCAAAAGTCGAGAGCGCGCGAGCCAAAATGAGAATAAATGCAAAAATGTTGCTTTTAATCCGTATTTTTTTACTCAATTCTTTGGAGGAACCTGAAGAAATTTATCAAAATTTGAAAAAAAATTTACTTGTTCTTACTAATATGCATCTATTCGCATTCGATATATATATATATATATATATATATATATATATATATATATATATATATATATATATATATATATATATATATATATATATAAAATAAGCTAAAACTGAAATCAAAGCCTAGATAAGCTTAACTCTTGCACATGTCTTCAAAGACATATGATACTGTTGTGTACTTCTTTTTTTCGGATTCAATTGTTTTCTTCTGCGAGTCTTTTGCATTTTTTTATCTGTTATAATAAAAGAAACAATCATTATATGATGAACAATTTTTAATGATTTAAAATTGATTTAATTCATGTTTAACAAAATGCTTATTAGATTATAGATTAGATCATTAGACATCAAACAATTATGGACATAATATTATTGGAGAAAGATCTCAGGCTCTTATAGACTAAGTATTATTTCTCAAATAAAAAGCTTCAGCATACAGTATATAACAAAATATATAATATATAATAATTGATTAAAAAAAAAATTGTATCAGAAACTTATTAGACAAAAGTCAATAAGAAAACTGAAAAAAACCTCATCAAAGAAAATTTTAATATAGTAAAATTAAAGAAATCTATTAAGTCAATACATCTCATTGAAAAAACAAAGATTAGACAAAGAATAACAGCTTTGAAAATTTAACACTACTCTTTTACTTCTGCTAATAAATAAAACATATTTGAAGAAATCAGTTTTATAAATATAAAATAAATATTTCTATTTGATTTTTATTTCTATGAAGAAAATTATAATTATATATATATTTAAATAAAATAAAATCTAATATATATATATATATATATATATATATATATATATATATATATATATATATATATATATATATATATATATATCCTTATAGTGTAGTCGAAAGAGTCGTTTAATGTAAAAAAAGTCTCTTTCGATTACAATTTTAATTACCTCGTCTCTTAAGCTGTTTTTGATTGTCATCGAAATGTCAAAGCAATTAATTTATGCGGAAGTACATTAAATTTAATTGTTTTTTAAAAATTTTTAAAAAAACCGCAATTATAACGACTAGAAAGTTTTTTTTAATTAGTGGTGTTTTTGTTATTGATTTAATAAAAAACATTTTTAAAACATGCGTAAATGTTGCTACATCGACTATCTTATAGCCTGACTCGCAACGGAGTGCTGCTACATCGACTGACAAATAGCCTGACTCGCAACGGAGTGCTGCTACATCGACTGACAAATAGCCTGACTCGCAAGGGAATGCTGCTACATCGACTGACAAATAGCCTGACTCGCAAGGGAGTGCTGCTACAACGACTGACAAATAGCCTGATTCGCAAGAGAGTGCTGCTACATCGACTGAGGGTTTGGTTTGGCCAGGCAGTCTATTAATTAAAAAAAAAATTTAATTTTTAAAACTTTTTCTTGTCTGGTTTATTAACGCGCTCTTTAAAACTACAGTTTATGGGAAACTTTTTTTGATGCCAAGCAAGAGACATGCAAGAGTATATATATATATATATATATATATATATATATATATATATATATATATATAAGAGATCGAGAGAGAGAGAGAGAGAGAGAGAGAGAGAGAGAGAGAGAGAGAGAGAGAGAGAGTCTTGCATATAAGTTTAAGACCACTTTAATTTTTTTAGTTTATATGTGCTTTTATTTATGAAACAAATTTATTAGCTTAAAAATTTTATTATACATGAATTATTTTACTACAAAAATACAAAAAAATTAATATTTAACATGTTTTTTTTTTTTATTTGCTAGAACTGCCTTAATATAGTCAAGGGTAGATTTAACTAAATTGTCACAGTGTGCTGAAGTTATGCAAGTGGTCTTTATTATTTCTATTACTTTCTTCTCTGATGTTGGGTTCTGTTCAGCAACTTTTTTTTCCATAAATGCTTACTAAGTTCAAGTTTGGATTGGAGCCAGGCCCAAATTATGCAACTGTATGGTGACAAGGTACATCACCATGTTGAAATATAAACCAGTGGTGGTTTTACATATGTCTAATAAAATTATAGTTTTAATACTGATAAACCTGCTTAAATAACAGTAGTATTTTTAGACACAAAACATATGCCACTTGTGCTTTGACCGCAGAAACTGCTCCAGACCATCAAAGTGGGCGCCAGTTTTACATTTGGACAATGATTCTGGTGTTAAATTGCTGATTAGCAGGCTGCCGGATGTGGTACAAAACACTTTCAAAAGAATGCCAACCTGTTAATATTCTTCTTTGCTTTCCTGGTATGTATATTTTTTGGTATGTCTGCAAGATGGCAAGCCAAAATCCACTAGCAATCGACGTCTTACAGTTCATGAACTCATTGGGTTATCACTTCACTGGTTGCTAATTAAATCATTTTAAGCATTTTTTTTTCACAGTTATGGATAGATTTTGTGCAAAATGAGGTGTACAACATTTTTTGAGATAAAAGTTTAGAAGATAATAACTATCTTAGAGTGTCTATTTCAGGTATATTTATAGGCGATTACATAATTTTTTAATGAGGACATTTTTCACCAGGCCTTTAATGCTTACACAAACCAATAATTAAAAACTATATTAAAAGTTTTAACTGTCATTTATATGCCAGTAGACTCAATCTCCCCAGACTTAAGTTATCTCTGAACTTATGTCGACATTTCTATATTAATAAATGACAAACTTTTCTGAGTCCTCTTTATTATGACTTCTTGGATTATTGTTTAATACTGACCTTTAATGGAAACCATACATACAATCAAATCAAATCAAAAAGGTTTTTATGGGATGAAGTGTGATATGAAGAAGCAACCTTAGATAGATCACCACTAAATTCTATGATCAATGCAGCCTGTTGCACTGTCAAGTTAGACCTGGTTGTCAACAAGGTTTGCTCAGATCAACATATCTGGAGACATAAATGCAATTGTTCCATTTGACATAGAGTTGTTAGTATCAAAGTAGAACCAGAGTTGGCCTCAACATCATCTGTCCAACATTCAGATACTGTTGCTTTTGAAGGCTGTCAATATTTGAAATGTTTTATATGCTCCTGTGCTACAGCCTATTGAATATGGCATCTGGAAATTTTCTTAGCTAGAGACTTGTCATAAGCATTAAAGCTAGCTCCATCGCCTTTTGTTGTTTTAAGGAATGCTAAATCTTCAGCAAGTTACCTTTGTAATATTTCAGAACTTGCAGCCTGCAATTATAATGTGGATACTTATACTGTTTGCATAGTTTTAATGTTGTGCTATGTAGTCTGAGTGTTGCAGTGACTTTTATAAATTGAGTTTCAACAAATACCCATTAGGCTAATGTTTTTGTAGTAGAATTTAAGAAGTTACGTAAGAAGCACATTTGTCAACAGGAAGACAAAAGATTTCTACCCAAAGGCCATCAGGAAGAAAATCACAGGAAGAATCCCAGTCAGCTTAAAGGTAACTGAGAGGTAAAAGAGGTATGATGATAGGGGGAGTCTGATTATGAAGAAGAATGAGATAATAGTTTTCAAACTATTATCTCATTCTTCTTCATAGATCAAACTGTGATCAGAAACACCTAAGGGTGAATGTGGAAAAACTGAGCACTGACTAGGATTATTCAGAAAATTGTTGCAGTACAATATTTACTGTTGTAAACCTTGATTATGCACCAATAGATTCAGGTTGGTCACACAGTGACACTATATTGCAATAAAAGGGTATTTGCAAATATTTTAGGGTGTACTAGCCTGATTTTTCCCTGATATTTCCCTGATCCACTATCTGTTTTCCCTGATTTAATTTAAACTCAACTTCAGAAATCCTTTTAAGTTGCAAAAACATAAACAATACATTTAAATTATCAAGAGAAGTTTATAAAACTATCAGTCAAATAAAAATTTATATTAAGTGTATGAAATAAACATATAAAACTTACTTGAGCTAAGTAAGTTTGATGAAGAGCTATTTTCACTGATTTCCTGATTTTTTCAAATTTAACTTAATTTCCCTTTATTCCCTGTTTTTTTTGCAGATATCTAAACTCCCTGACTTTTCCCTGTTTTCCTGATCTGGCAGACACCCCAAATAATGTATCATGCATCTAAATGCTTCAGCAACTGTAGTATTATACCCAGCATTTATTGTTTTAGTGGATTTGCAGTGGACCTATATAGGCATTTTTTTAGCAGTTCATTGGAGTTTTGCTCATCGGTTACTTAGCGCACATTAGAAGCAGTCACTATAAATGACAAGCCGATAACTTTCTGACATAGTGGCTAGTCATTGACTAGCCATTTTTGGTGGTTGCCACTAATGGTCCACTAAGAACCAATTAGCAAAACTACAGTGGTATGCTCAAATGCCTATATAGGTCTGCTAAAATTTGATATAAAATGTTTGCTGGGTAGCATGCAGAAAAAAAAAATGAAGCAACAAACTCACACCATCCCAAGTGACATCAGCACTATCTGAAACATCATTATTACCTCCACCATTAGCATTAGCATCAGTAACACCACTGTCATATGTTATTTTGTTATTGTTTTTGATACTTATTGTTATTTTTATTTACAAAAATGATATAAAAGGAATAGCAAATAACTTTTGGTAAATTAGTTTATAAAAAACATAATCCAATAATAAAAATAATTCATTATAAAATAAATACTTAACAAAACATAATTATAGAACAGTAGAATTTAATTAATAGCAAATTGCAATTAATCTAATGGTATGGATTAATTGCACAGAACAAATTTATCAAAAATTTAACAAATTTATCTTAACTATTACATAACAAATCATAATTAATAAATGTAAGCCAAAAAAGAAGCTAAATGTATTAAACATAAAATACAATTTTTAAACAAATAATTGATTGATACAAATAAAACAGATAAAAAAATTGAAAGCTGCTTAATCAAGAAAAAACTTACAAGAATTTAGGAAAATTGCAATAAATATTCTATTGAAGGATTGTACTTTCTTCCATTTGTGTTGACTTCTCCGAAAAACAATTGTTTCAATTCTAATTGACAGGTTTAACGTGACACATAATTCTAATTGTGTTTTAATGTTATCAAAAATAAGATAGTTTGTGAAACACTCTTGCTGATTTTCTTTTTTTAAATTTGAGAAATAGAAACATACTTTTTCATAGCAACTTTGCTGTTCATGCATTTTTTTCTTAACAAATTCCATTTTCTGCTTGGAAGAAGTTCTGGATATTTTTCTATTTTTATCTTGATGCTTTTTTGAACTTGATTTTGACAGTATTTGTGATGGTGATGCATCAAATGATCTTAAAGGTACTAGATTTAAAAAAGAACGACTAACAAGCAAATCTGAATCCATTTTGTTATTTACATTATTATCACACTGGGATTTTTGAAACAGAAGATTTTTATCAGTACAAGCAAGATTTTTTTGTTGTTGTTGAGAATTAAATGAAATATCAACTGTAAGGTCTTTTAAACATTCTTTGTATTCATCTTCATTACCATTAAATATTTTTTCTTTTGATGAGAAATCAACATCCATTTTTTGCCTTTTGTTATGTGTGCAGTTAACAACATTATTATTTATTACGTTGCTTTTTAAGTCATTGCAAATAATGCATTTACAACAATTGAACATATGTTTTGCTGTGTGGAAAAATTATACAAATTCAACTTTTATTATAAAAATAAAATTAAAAAGCTAAAAAATGTTTTAACGATTAAAAAAATCAAAATAATTAAAGTAATCAAAATATTAAACTTTTATTTTTATATATTAAATATTCATTTTTAAATATTGAAAATAAAACCGAGTTTAATTATTAAACATTTGTTTACTTACAAGAATTAATGCAAGGTTGATCAAGAATTCTTTTTAATTTGCTATTTGATGTATTGGTAGACTTTCTCTTTTCGCATCCTTCAGAAATACTTTTAATTCTCTGCTTGCTCTGTATATCTGGTTGGCTGCATAGTATTGGTTTAGCATTTTTATTTTTTTTTTTTTGCTTCTTAAGTGCTGATATGCATTGTTTATTTTCAAATAACATTGTGTTCTCTAATATAGAAACAGAGTTTAACAAACTTGTTGAGGGATCATTTTTCTTAGTTATTGGATTGATAGCAGAATTTTCCTGATCAGTACAATTTATCGAAACATTCTTGGCCTCACAAAAACTTGAAAAGTAAGGGCTTTCAACATCCCCACAACTATACTTTGATTTAACATAAAAGTCAGAATGGATATTATTGTTTCCATTTGAGTTATTATATAAAACATTATTTGATTGGTAGGTACAATTTAAAGAATTTTCTGAAAAAAAAGATCTTTTAGCAAACAAGGAGTTGTTTTCATTAAGAGTACTATCCTGCCAAATATTATGAGACTGATCATTTATTAACTGCATTCCGATATCAGGTGGATAAACAGATGTATTTATATAGCTTGATACGTCAAATGGTTGGAAATGAGCATATAATGAAGGGTTATTGTAAAAATAAGTATGTGGATTATATGCTCTTAAAAAGTGTTTTGATGAATGTGATCCTTCAAAAACTTCATTTGGATTGCCTATTAGGCAATTGTTATTAGTAGTATTACTGTATTGAAAATAGTTTTTTGGTGTATCAATAAATTTATTAGAATAAAAGTGATTTTGTTTATTTTCGTGGCTTTCAGTTGGAAAATAGTCATTATTTTGCCATAAATCTGTGCATACTTCATTTTGCTCTAGTAACTGATATTTAAATACACCCAAGTTAGCATAATACCTTTCATGCGCCTGTGATACTTTATCATTCATTATTACTGGAAATTGTGGGTTTTCTTCTTGAAAACTATGATCTAAATTTGCTGGATAAGACCTTATTTTAGTAAATTTTAAAATAGAAGGGTCAAATGAGTTTAAACTCCTTTGTATAGGAACAGATCCATGAAAAATTGGTTCTACTTTTTCTCTAAAGATCAAACTTTTATTATCCTTAATCTGAAATGGTTCACATGGTAACGACTTTTTGTAAAGTTCTGACTCACATTTGTGTTGTGTAAAACTGTCACTAAAATAAAAAGATTCAGGTAACTGGTTTTTTTGTAAATAATCAGTAAATCCAAAGAGATTTTTTTGATGATTGGAAGGAAACTCACTTTGATTATTTGTATTTATAATACCTAAAGGTGGTTTATTTTTTTTAACATTTTTACTAAATAAACACAATTTATCTTTTTGGCTTAAATTTTTAATATATTTTTCACTTTGAAATGTGTTGTCATTTTTAGTTATTTGTTTACTCATATTCAGTTGAGCTTGACAAAAGTTCTTGTTTTGTTTACACATATTCACTTGAGCTTGACAAAAGTTCTTTTTTTGCTTACACATATTCACTTGAGCTTGACAAAAGTTCTTGTTTTGAGATTCTTTTTGTACTTTAAGAAAATTTTGTAAATGAGATTCCTGAATTATAGTTTTGTCAATTTTAGAATATTTTGGTACATCAACATTTAACACTTCATTTTTATAAGATGGACTCTTTAAAAGCATTTCATTTTCACTATGTTCATTATTTCCAAACAAACCAAAGTACTGGTCATTAAAAGGATTTATAAGCTCCATAACTAATTCATAATTATTTTCAAATTTGTATTATTTTCAGGTAAACTGTAAAAAAATTATTACTGAAATAAAAAAAATTTACTAAAAAAAAATTACATTATAGTATATAACATAAAAAATGGTAATCAACATATAAATATATAAACATATAAACAAAAAACATTTATAAGAAAACTTTACATTATATATTAATAATTGTACACAATATAAGTTTATATATATATTTATTGTAATATTTATTAATAATTGTACACAATATAAGTAAATATAAAGTTTCATTTTTCCCTCAGAACAAAAACTTAATATATTCTATATGCAAAAGAAACATTCTAAAAAATATAGATATAAATATATAGACTACTACTCATAATAAAACTCATTGCAGTATATTGAAATTGGCAAAAAATAGAAGGCTTTTAAACAATTCAAAGTAAAATAAACACGATTTCCATAAATAATACAACTATAGAACACTCTTTGTAAAACACTTTTTGAAACTAATAATTTTTATGAATTTTTTTAGAACTTTTTAAAAATATGTATTCAAAAACGTTTGTAAACATCTAAACTAGCTTAACTTTGATCTAGATTAATTGCGCATGACGCCTTTTCAATACAGTTTTAAAAGGTTGAAACGATTAGTTCTGAAGAAATATATTTGACTATTTAATATTTAATTATCTATTATTTAATTATTTATTATTTAATTATTTTAATATTTAACTTTAGTATTTTAAAACACTTTAAAAACTTTTTTACAAATGTCGTACTGTTCATCATATTTTATATTATAATTTTTAACATTAGATAAATTTAACAGTATAAAAACTTATTTAAATCAATAGCTTTTAAATAAAAATTTAATGAAAGTTTTCGAAATCTTAATAACTTTTAATTGAAAAACTTGGTTGGCTCGCCTATTTCTGTCAAATATAATGTTTGTTAAAAGAACTTTTGTTGCAATATGCTACTTTAAATTAAATAAGTAACAATGACATATAGGGGGCAAAGCGAGATTCTTTCACCGCATGAGGGCAGCAACTAAATTAAATTGGCATACTTTAAATATCTAGTAAATTAGGTATTTAAATAAAAAAAAAAAGTATTTAAATACATAATTATTATTATTTTTTCAATTTACATTACATTCATTAAATATCTACATAAAGTTTGTATTTGTAAATTAAAAAAAGAATTTTGTATTTATAAATATTGGTTAATAATTAATAATATTACAATATTATTAATTATATTATATAAAATATATATATAAACTCAACAAATATTGATAAACCTGGTTCTATAAAATACAAATCAAAAAGAAAAGTATCTATAAAATACAAATCAAAAAGAAAAGTATCGACCTGTATTGATAAGATGAGCAAGTGATAAGTGGTGAAATTTATGCATTGTAGTAGTAGTAGTAATAGTAGTAAGTGACTGGGACCCTGGCAAAAAATGATAATTTTTGCAAACCTGGCCCCGGTCTCAGCAAAATTTTAAGATTTAGCAGGGTTTGATAGCTCAAGCTAAAAAAAATTTATAATACTTTGTATATTATAATTTTATTCTTACATTTACTATTTATTAAATACTGGCATATATTTATATATTTTTAAACTCTAATTTACTTCCAACAAGGTTGCAAGCAACCACTGTTAAGTTATGAGTTACTTTAAAACACAGGATAGGGTTAAAAAGCTAGGAAAGGGTTAACTGAATATGGAGAGATCAAAGTGTTTTCTGGAGCTTTTAAAAATTAGAACCACTTATTTAGGACTTTTTAATTGTTTAGCTAGAAAACACTTTTTTAGGACTATGATGGAAATCTTGTCTGAACCACAAACTGCAGAAGTGTTTAATTGAGAATTAACTTTAGCATTAGAAGCCAGAGTGATTTGGATGTTTAACAATGGGTTATTCTGTTTAACTGACAGGAAGAATATGGTCATTAGATTCAGGAGTCAAATTAGAGGAAAAGTTGTCCCCAAATAACTCTGCCCTATTCTAGGGAGAATTAAAACATTAATAGAATAAAATAGAATTAAAGATTAAAAATTAGACTTTAGTTAATGGCTAATGTTGAAGACTTTCCAAAAGTCTCTAGAATCTAACATCTGAGATAAGTTACAAAATTTAGTAAACTGAGAATAAAAGAGTTTAACATCAAACAGGACCTTTTTGCATTAGCTTCTTGCCATAATAAAAGGACATTTGTTTTTAAGAGAGATATTCTTGTAAAAAAAAAAATGAAAAAATGATTACGTTTTAAAGGAATTTTAGGAATAAAAGCTTCCAAAATTTTATTTCAGAAGGAACAAAAGTTTCTCAGATGCAGATTTATGCATATATAAAATGGATATAAACATACATGTTTGCTATTTATTTAGATGCTGGCATACAATATCCTTTTATATTTATATAAACTTTAGTATTTAAATGGTGTAGTATTTAAAGGAGAAGACTATCAGAAGGATGTGTGGTGTGATTCTAAAAAGACAAGAAAAGTAGACATATTCTTAGATAAATTATAAAAAAACGTTGTATTGAACAATGTTTGTTAGAGAAGATTAATGTGATTAAGGTATTAGCATGTAGAGAGATAGCAGCTTCAGGAAAAAATGGTAGTGGTGTAAGTAAGAAAACTTGAAGAGAGCACCTTACATATTGTATAAGCTTTAGTTAATGAAAGAAAATGCTCTAGATTGTTTATATTAGAGAAACAGAATAGAAGAGGAAGACTAAGACTAAGACCTGACGACGACGATGATGATGATGATGATGATGATGATGATGATGATGACGATGATGATGATGGTGATGATGATCATGTTGATCATAATGATGTTTGTATATACATATATATACAAAATATAACATGAATTTTGAATTAAAAATATATATACCTTAGAATGTATAAATGTTTAAGCAGCCTCGGTTACAAAATATGGCCTTAGCCCCAGCTACATTTTATTAAACTGTCTATATTTTATTATTGAAATTTTAGTATTTTTATGATTATTTTAATTCAAAATTATATAAAAGATAATTTAAAAACAAAAAAAAAACTTAATATTTTCTATAAATTAATGGAAGCTTTTAGTAAGTATATAGTTTTTATAAGTAAATACTTATATATATAATTACATTTTTTTAAATAGATTTTTACAAATTCAACAAGAAATATCTAAGGTTTGTGACACTTACCTGTTTCTATCTTTAATTTTAACAATATCATATATTTTAAAAAACGGATTAAATCAGTTAGTGCAGAAAAATATAAAATAAAATATTGAAAAACAGTTTAAAAAATCAAAAATAAATTTATTATAAATAGCACAAAAGTTAGCAAATACACTTGAAGTAAACACGACAAAGGAGCAGGTACGACAAAAACAAATGTTATAAATTAAGTTTATGTACAACATTTGTGCTTTGTTTTGGCTAATTATTGACAAAATATCACTTTTTCTGTGAAAATGTTAGTATTCTTAATATAATTTATTTTAGCCAATACCTTAAAAACTTATTGTTGCTGTTTTTTTTAGTCAAAAATTTAGTCAAAAGAAAGATTTCTTAGAAAATATACAAACTAAATATATTCTATTTGCTATATAAAAATTAATATTATAAATATTAGTAACAAAATTAAACACCAAAATAAACAACCTTTATTTATATATTAGCGTTATTTATATACTTACTTATATAGTTATTTATATGTTTATTATATATTAAATAAAATTATAAATTTTATAACTTTAGCAATCAGTTTTAAAAACCACGTGCAGATGTTCATTCGTATTTAAGCGTACGCAGTTGGAGTAAGTTCAATAAAACCGTCGTCATACCGCAAAGTCTTGTTCTGTTTCCACATTTTGGAGCTTTGAGGAGATAATACAATTTAAAAAAATTTAGGAGACGGCATATAAAGATGACTTACGTTTTCTCAGCAACCTTTTTGATTATAACTTAGGTTTAAAAACATTATTTAGAGGTACAGTAAGGACATCTTGGGGCGCCTAAAATAAATAAAAAATAACTCGATTTTTTCAAAAAGTAGAGATACAACAAAATAATTCTAACCTCGTGATACAGTGTTAACATAAATAAAAGTAAAATTGATAGCGTTATCAGTAATTCAAAAATGTCACTAAAAATATGTTTTACGTGGACATTTGACACGTAAATTTTTTTTCGTAATAACTTACGCATTAAAATCAAAGTTTAAATTGAAAGTTCTTGAAAACGACAAATGATTTTATTCATCACTTTACTTTTCAATACTTTATAATACTTTTTATTTGCTTGATATATATATTTTTTGATCCATATATGTTGTATAATAGCATGCACTAACTTTGAACATATATATATATATGTGTATATATATATATATATATATATATATATATATATATATATATATATATATATATATATGTATATATATATATATATATATATATATATATATATATATATATATATATATATATATATATATATATATATATATATATATATATATATATATATATATATATATATATATATATATATATAACTTATGCCGTGCCGACGTCGGCCGCCCGCTGTGTTTGCCGCGTTGGCTTGCACATTGTATTTACATCGAACTGTTAGCAGCAAGCTTCAGGCGATTCAACTGCGGACCGATTGCGGCAAAATGCTAAATCTTCAACAGCGGTCCTTTGGCGCCAAGCCAACAACCCACACAAAAATCACATCAAACTTTGGTACACCGATGCAACTTCACTTAATAATAAAATGCAACAACTTAAAGCGTACTTGTCCTGTGATAAACCAGATATTATATTAGTAAGTGAAACATGGTTCAATGATAAATCAGTTATCAATATTGATGGGTACAACTGCTACAACAAAAACAGACCGCTTGGTGAAAATGGTGGGGGAGTAGTAATTTATGCAAAATCAACATTTATTACAACAAGTGTAAGTCATTTAGCATTATGTGACAATGGAATAGAGCAGATATGGTGTAGTTTGACCAACGGACCAGACCATTTATTAATTGGATGTATTTACAGACCGCCAAGTAGTCCAGAAAGCGTAAACACTAAAATCAATTCAGTGCTTGGAATAGCCAAAAGTCTAGTAAACCAAAAAAAATATACCGGATTAATTATAACTGGTGATTTTAATTATCCACGCATAAAATGGGACAAAGATGGTGGAACAAAACTGAAACAAAACTGTGATGTTAGTATAAAATTTATTGATAATTTAAATGAAAATTTTATTGAACAATGCATTTTTGGATCAACATTTCAAATATCCAACGAAGAACCTACAAACACACTTGATTTACTAATGACAGATAACTGCAAAAGGATTAGAGACGTAGAAATAGGCGCACCACTTGGACCAATTGAAAAAGCACATTATGTAATTCAATTCAAATATGACATGCAAGGTGCTGACACAATCCCTATACAATTCAATAGTAAAGATATAAATTCAAAAAGGAGACTATGAAAAAATAAATCTTGGTTTTAATTTAATAAATTGGTATGAATTATTCAAGGATTTAAACGTGGACCATTGCTACAGTGCTTTCGTACAAAAAAATAATGAGTTGATTGAATTGAATATTCCAAAGAAAAGAGCCAGGTTTGATCAAAAAGTTAAAAAAGACCCATGCATAACAATTGAAGTTAAAGCTTTAATACGTAAAAAGAAAAATTTATGGAACCAATTAAGAGCTGATAAATTTAAATATCTTAATAAATTAAATGAGTACAAAGCAGTAAAAAAATTAGTCAAAAGCAAATTAAAAGAATCCACTATTGATTATGAGAAAAATCTTATAAATAATGCAAAAAAAAATCCGAGAATGTTCTACAAATACGCGAAAAAGAACCAAAAAAACATTGGTAAAATACAATCAATGAAAAACTATGCAAATGTACTCACATCTGACAGGCATGAGATTGTTAATATATTGAACAAAAGTTTTCAATCGGTTTTTGTTAAAGAGCATGGTGAAATTCCGGAGTTTGTACCACGTATTACAAAACCTTTTGAATGGGATTGGAAAAATGTTGTTACAAATGAGGCAGTTCAGCAAAAACTGTATTCTTTGGACGTCAACAAAGCATGTGGTAGTGATGGTATTAGTCCTTACGTACTTAAAAATTGTTCAAGTAGTGCAGCAACTCCATTAGCTTTAATTTACCGAAAATCAATTGAAACAGGAAAAATTCCTAGCAAATGGAAAGAAGCAAATATTACTCCAATATTCAAGAATGGAAATACAACAGACCCGCTTAACTACAGACCCGTATCATTAACATCTGTACCAGGCAAAGTTATGGAAGCATTCATAAAAGAAGCAATAATGACTCATCTGATGGAAAATAAATTGCTATCAAAAAATCAACATGGCTTCGTAAAAAATAAAGCCTGTGTAACAAATTTGCTAGAAACATTAGACATTTTAACAGCAAGCATGAGTGACAGTTTAGCGGTAGATATGATTTATATGGATTTTGCCAAAGCCTTTGATAAGGTTCCACATAAAAGACTGTTGAAAAAGTGTGAAGCATATGGTATCAAGGGTGTAATAAATGACTGGATATCGTCTTTTTTAAAAGAAAGAAGGCAAAGAGTTGTGATGGGTGTAGACGTGTCTCCATGGCTTGAGATTTTTAGTGGTGTGCCTCAAGGCTCTGTGCTTGGTCCTTTGTTATTCTTGATATTTGTAAATGATCTACCATCAGTTATTAATTCCAATTGCAAATTATATGCAGATGACAGTAAACTTATCAAAGTTATAAAAAATGTTGAAGATCATGAGTCTTTGCAGAATGACATTAACGAATTTGTAAAATGGACGGATATCTGGTTGACAAAGTTGAACATCGAAAAGTGCAAGGTGATGCATTTAGGTAAAAAAAATCCACGTATGAGTTGTTGTATGAACCACGACGGCAAAGAGTATAAATTAAAAACAACAGTAAGTGAAAGAGATTTAGGAGTGATTATTTCATCCGACCTTAAATGGCATGATCAAGTGACTTCAGCGACAGCAATAGCACAAAGAACTTTGGGTCTAATTAAACTTACTTTTACATACTTCGATGTGGAAATGGTGAAATCACTATATACGACATTTGTGAGACCGCTTCTTGAGTTCGCTATACCTGCATGGCAGCCTTATTTACAACGGGACATTGATGAGTTAGAGAAAGTGCAAAGAAGAGCAACGAAGTTAGTTCCTCAACTTAAAAAGATTTCATATGAAAAAAGACTGAAAGCAATGGGTTTAACAACATTAAAGAAAAGACGAGCTAGAGGAGATCTTATACAACAATACAGATTCAAGCAAAATATAGACCAAATAAATTGGTACAAAAATCCAAAACCGGCATCATCCGTGACTAGTTCAGGCCCGGCTTTTTCTGTAAGGGGCAATAAATACAGGCTAGAAAGAGAATACGTACCATCATGTTTACCGAGATATAATTTTTTTACCAATCGAGTTTGTAAAAATTGGAATTTGTTACCAAATGAAATCATTGAAGCAACATCGTTGAATGTTTTCAAAGCGCGAATAAATAAACATTTTTCATAACTTGTGTTTTTTTAATTTGTGTGGGCTGTCTATAACCTGATGCTTGCATCGCGTTCCACAATTTATTTTATTTTTAAATATTTATATTTAAACAAATATGTAATTGTTACAGCAATAAATATTACTACTATTACTACTAATGTTGGAACCACAGCGTTTCGATATAGGACCTTCTGTAATTCGCGCTTCAATTTCGAATATTCTTTTTGTACTTTTCTTTGAATTTAAACCGTTATCTTTCGCGAAATTGTTTATTATTTTTATTAAATGACCTTATCCAAAATAATGCATAGATGACACATTTGAAACTTTTTCCAATTTATTAAATTTTTTTTTTTTTTTAATTTATTTCGTCATTAAATGAATAAT